GAGTTTTCAGAGGCTACTGGACACTAACAGCTGAGACATGGTGTTGGTGAAGGTCAGTGTCCAGTAATCTTTGAAACTCTGGTTGCAGAGAATGCACTCATGCGCACTTCAAATATAATGCAGTTTTTTCTTTGCAATGACGAAGCGTTTTAGTTTATTGATTTTCGCCAAGTATTTTGCAAAATCGGGTAGCTCAGCTTATAGCCAAAAGTGTGCGCAATACTAAGACCCCATTCCCATAGACACCATCGGTCTACGTACTTCAACCCAACTCTGCGGGGAGTCTCGCTAAGTGCAATCAGCTTAACGAAATGATACGCCTCCTCTTGTTTCCAACGTACTGGTATAATCACCGTCTTTTCTGTATTCCACTTAACGCCAGGGGGAGGTGTGTCATTCAGTTATGCTGATTGCAGTCAGCGAGAGTCCTCGCAGAGTTGGGTCGAACCACATGGACCGATGGGGCCTAAAAGTTATGCAGACTTACCAGTGCCACATTATTCTGTAAAACTCTTCTTGTCTTCTTTCCACCGCTCACCAAAGTTTAACTTTTTCATTAGTCCACGAACACCACGCAAGTTTCAGCTTAATGCTGAACCTTAGAGCATTTTTACTGATCCTTAATACCATAAAAGAAGCGGCACGTCTACTTACAATATACACCTTTATAGGAAGTTTGTCGAAAACAACAATAACCATGTCCCTATTTCGAAGTTGCGGTTGTTAATGATACCTTGATGCATATCACCCCTACAAAGCTCAGATAGAGTCACCATTCTTTTCAACCAGAAGATCCGGGAATGATATAACTCGCCTTTTTATTCACAAAAAAAATATCAATATGAAAGATGATAAAATCTTATGAATGATAAATTAAGGAAGTGGCAATTATGTTACACGTGAAGAAAGTATTTCCTATCCAGAAGAAATGAAACTCATCTCATATTTGAGAGCCGCTTTTAGTTTTATATCGAAATAAACCTGAACACAGAGTGAAATTAGAAAACAGGCAAGGGGATAGAAAGACATCACGCTCTATAATAAAAGGATCGAAATAAAAAGCTGTGGTCGAATCAAATCCTCGATTAAAAAAATGTAGACGTTTAAAAGTCAGACCGACTTACAGACAGACGGACGGACAGACAGTCAGAAGTATTGCCGCATACATGACATACGTGATATAAAACGAACGTTAGACGCTGATTCTCATTCTTTATCATACAACATGACTCACCGAGACCCCAGCGATCAAATGTAAAGAGAATAAAATTTTCTTCGCGTATTCGACGGGCAATGAAACGCCAATAATAAAGGAATTCGGTTATAAAAATTGTTAAGTTGGAGGTTTTCCGAAGGGATGTACTGGTGGGCCTATGGAATATTTTAGGTTATAAGAATGTTGCAATTACGATGCGCACGTTCTTTTGTTAACAAATACGAATATGTTGTCATCACTGCCTAATTCTATGCAGAGTTTGAATATCAACCAAAGAAAGATAGAAACAAAATTAATAAATAAAAAAATATATGCTATCAAAATTTGAAACCAGAGAGAATAATAAATAAATAAATGTTAAATAAATGAACATAGATTTTTCCCGACACAAGATTCGGAATATTGATTCACTCAATAATTAAATGTGCGCCTTTGTCCTTAGCTTCATTCTCAGGGGCTACATCATTTTTTTTTAGGAGAAAGCTGTTTAGATTTAGGAATTATGCAGACAAAAACCCTGATGTACACTCTTTTGGTCTGGTTAATTTTAGAAATCAAAATAAAGTAAGCTTTTGAGTTTTATTAATCATAACAAGAAATAAACAATAAGTGTATATACGGGATGCTTAAAATACGTTTTGCTTAAATAACAATTTCATTTTACTTTTTCTCATTTTGAACTTATTTCTTCTTGCAGTCACATTTTGTTAATAATCGTGCAATGATTAGAAGATATGATATAATAGATTATAAAGTATTCACAATTAGCAGGCATCATTTCTAAAGAAAAATTATTTAGGCTAACATGTACATGGTAAATATTGCCCAACATGGAATTCCAGTAGTGTCTCTAGCATCATAAATCTTAATGTTTTGTTAATTCCATTATTCTTTTTTTTTTAAGGAAGTTATCCAGTATTCCCACGAAAAGCCATTGTCACGTTTTCCTCAATGATCGTTGCAGGATGAGATGTCTAAGAGCAAGGAGTGACGGGAGTGAGGCCCTTACACAGAAACCAAGGCAGTAGGCTCAACATAGCTCACCGATTCCCAGAGTCCCCCCCAAACCTACGATCACTCATGCGTGTAGCTTCCTGTGCACCTGTTAACGCCATTGGCCTCACCTGCATTTACCTCGAAAGAAATAGAAATAAATAAATAAACTAAACGGCACCTCGCAGTGTAATAGTAAAGAAATGACCCTTGTCTATTGACATAGAGGTAGGGGCCCACCACTAATTCCCCATAGAAAATCTCCCATACACCGCACACAGTTTCTCTTTACTTAGAACGGGTAGGGGCGCAGTTACTCCTCTGGTGCGCTTTCTTTAGAAATGCACCATAAATCTTCAACAATGTCTCGGCCATAACTCATTCATAGATTTCAACGTACCTTGAATTTGCGTTTACTACCGCGAGTTTATTTATAAACTCTCTTCCTCAATGGGAACGTGGTTATGCGCGTAACCGCAAATTTACGCACGAGGTTTCGGGGTGAAAGGACCTCTGGAATCATTGTTTTAAAAGCTTCAAATAAACCCGGTCTTAGTCTATTCTGTTGAATGTTATTGTTTTCACAAATAGTTTATTAAGCGATCGCCTACGAGTTCGGTCCAGCATTGTCTAGGTGCCGGGCGCCAAGCAGTCTGGAGTGGCGGCGCATGGGGGTGTTCCCTAGCCTTACACAACCTAAAAAGACTGTCTTGATAAGAAACAAAACATAAATAAATAATCTCGCTATTTAATGACGTCCAAGTTACCCTTCATCGGGCCCACCTGTGCCTTCTGCTTGTGCCAATGGAGCGTCTCCACTTTGATCGTTCACGTCAATTATTTTTTCTACACCCTCTGAGTGACTTGGTAACCAGAACTTTGCTAGTGCTATGTAACTGCGGATACCGCTGGCAAGGGCTAATGGGTACCCTCTTTATTAGGGGTGAATTTAAGGGGGTATCGTGGTTAAACAGGTGGCCTGTTATAGGTGTCATGTTCTTTGTTTAATTTCGCCGGTGTCTCAAACAACCGCACATTATTTATTACTCACAATGATTTTATACATTTGTCACTACTTGAACATCAGATCCACCGCGTCCTGTCAATCTAGATCAAAATCAACTCTTTAACAGCTCTCAATGCAATAAATATGTATATATCCGCCTGGGTCTGTGATATAACGTAGATCATACTCGAATACTTTAATTTTTTTTTTTTTTACTTTTGGGAAAAATTAAAATTGGAACTGCGGTGTGAATAAATATAATTGTACATGGTAAGGCACCGCGCAGCCTGCGGGGAAACAGTAACAAATGCCGGAGCAGCTGTTGGGTGGCTTTTTTTTATCTTTCAGTAACCCCCCCCCCCCCACCCTTTGGTTATTTGTTGAAAATAATAACATAGCGTTTTTCAACAGTCTTAAGACAACATATTCAAGGCTTTCTTTTTTCTTTAAATGTGCAGCCGGGAGAGCAAAAAGCTCAATATCAACACAAATAATTATTATGTCATATACTAACGCACGTCCATGACGTTATCGCTTATTATCTTGTAATTTTTAAACTGAAATGTCTCTTACAGATGCTACGTCTCCTTGCATTAAAAACAACATTACTTGTACTAAAACGGAATAAGTTTAACGCTGAAAATATACATACACAGAAAGTAAAAGAGTAAAACCAGTCGGCGAAGATGTTCAGAAAGAGAATCCCCATTACGGCGGAAACTACGAGTTCAGATGTACTGTAGAAAAGACAGCTGTTGTCGAACAATAAAGCCGAAAGGAATCTTTGCCACTTTTTCGACTAATTCGGCACAAATCCACAAAATATGAAGATATACAAAACACAACACCGCTTTTACTTCTCTGGATTTCTTTTTTAAATATTGGCATGTTCTAAAGACTTTTAAATAAAATTTCAATTTTATAAACGAAATGTACTTAGTTTTTTGCAAGTGTTTCATTAATGTTTCTTTTCTAAAATGGTTTTTAGGAATATCCGTTTCCACAAACAACTTCTTAATCTGGTAAAAGTTGAAACTTTTTCCCCCGAGCTGTTATGCAACTTTTATCAAACAAAAAGTGGCGCACGTGTTCACAAAACGCCAAGAAGTGGGGTTCGCCGGAATGCGGTGTGAAAACAGCTTTCAAAGATAAAAAGTCAAAGGCTGTTTGCCGCGCGAAAAAAGGTACGTCCCGTTTCGCCTTCTAGCTTGTTGGCAACGATCACAACATCGCACGGCGGGCCGTTTCAAACGGTGGGAAACGATCAGCAAGTCAAAGTCGTCGAGCGGAAGGCTGCATTGAGAACAGTGATCGTTTGTCTGCGCTGCTCAGCCGACTGCAAGAAGGTTTGCAATGTGAAGAAGTTAGGCGAGGCTGCAGGTGTTTCGCAGCTGAGCACATTCGCTCGGGGGGGATATCTAGACAATGCGCCCTCAGCTACAATGCCTTGGCTAGAATACCGTCACACCAAGGCTTTAACGGGATATACCAGAGGTTTCTTAACGCGTGACATCTAGGAAAACCCAACAACCTTGAAACATCGCCACCGTTTCACTTTGAATTCCTGGTAACTAAAATGACGTTATCAACAGTGAAAACTATATCTGTCAAAACTTCCATCATTTCTGGCCTATTGTCGCCTTCCCCCACACCTGCGCGGTGAAAACTCCTCCTTGGGGGCCTGTTTACCCAGCCCTGCGTATTAATAGCATTAGTGGTCTGGTATTTCCTGCATTTGTTATGACATTGTCATCGCGTCTGCAACATTACACAAAAATTCAAAGCTTCATTGTAGGTTCTTTTTACCAAGAATAAGTTTTATTATACGTAAAACTGATCTTTTTCTTTTCATCAGAAATAACCGTTTCATTATGATACATCCAAATCAGAGTTGTTGACATTTCGAACGGAATTCACAGACTACAATTAGGAGATCGGAGCTACAACAGACAAATAACAGTGAGCAATAAGCCATTGAGCGCTTGTTTGGTAAGTAAACAATAAGTAACCATTAGATGGAAGGACCGAGCGGCAAAACAAACCTCTCCGTTGTTGCTGTCGACTATAATAAAACAAATTAAAATCCGCAGATGAAATGTAAACGGAATTTCTATACGATTGTTGTGATCTTTAAACAATTTCCACAGGGAATTTAGTCTTTTTTATGCCAGTGTGACAGACGACTCATGATCATGTGGGGACTTGCAATTACTGGCCTTTCTTCTCCGTACCTAATCAAGAAGTAAAAACCTCCCGTCAAATAGTTGCCAAAAATCCACGCACACCTGTGTCAATCAAAACGTCGTGTTTGTTCGTCTCTTTCACGGTTGGTTTGGGACGTTTCTCTCTTTCTTCACAAATCAACTCCCATTAAATCAGGCTGCCAGTGAACGTGCGCTCAAAGTACCTTGTTTTCTTTTTCAACTTTGCCGACAAGCCGGGGAGCCCGCGCAGGTGTGCGTGTGTGGAAAACGAGGGGAAAATTCAAAATAACACTTTTCCCCTCGCATGGTCACAAGCGTAAAGCTGACACGACGAGGCATTGTTCAACGACATAATGGCCTTGTAATGACCGGACAATGGGGTGAACGTAACTTCCACTTTCTCACCACTAAGTCCTTCCATCTAACATCCAAGTGAGACAATTTACCTGAAAAGGAAGGGGGGAGAGGGGGGTCGACTTCCCAAAGAAGCGCACTACTGCCAAATTGAACAAGAAACGGATTAGACGTACAAGCAGTATTCAAACCTTTTCAACAGTGAAATCATCGCCTAAATCACGGGCGTATCATAATTAATCTGACTTACAAAATAAAATTTGCTCTAAGAATAGGCAGCCAAAGCAGTGCCCGACTGTACATGTGCACGTGAAGACGTGTGATCGTGTGTTTCGTACTTGTTACAGAACAGTCCAGCAACACACCGCTCCACGCTTCCTCCGCAACTAAACTAGGAACCTCGGCCACGAGGCACTGAAAGACTTGAAAGACGGAACCGTCAAAACTAACTACAGTACAAATACTAATAATTATTCCTATGTACAAATTAGGCTTGGGTCTCGTTTCACCGAGGAGACCGTCCGCACTGTTATTTACACGCGTAACTACAGACGATCTCTGTGACATTTACATATATAGTAATATTTATGCGTCACTGACAAATGTCATTGAGAACGTCTACCTAGCGCTTATGGCTGGGTAGTTATCTACTATCTGTACATACACAACTAAGCACACGGTGTAATCCTATATACACTAAATAATAGTGTAAACCTATGTACACTAAACAGTATGATTCGAAGTTCACCTCACTGAAGCGCTGTACAACCATTTCACTACTGTGTACAAACAAAAATAAGCGTTCAATATACATCACCGAAGCCGAGGAGCTACAGCCACCTAGATCTATATACAAGTCACATTTACAGGGCGGTGGCAGGTTTGTACAAGAGGGACCTTGGCGGTCCATGGCAGTTAGGAGACCTCTGCGGCTATCTCTTACATGCAAGATGTAGAAGAGGATGTCCTTAAATAGGCTGTACATTTAAAAACAATTACGTGTTTTCATCTTTCTTACCCAACTTGCAAAAAGCAATTCCTTGTTGTACGTAAAACAACAAGAAAGACAGACTGTTTTCTTTTTTCTAAAGCATGAATATCGTTGTTACTGAAATTATCTCAGCAACACTATGTGTATAATTAACAATTACACAATCACGCGAGAAGAGGCCCTGCAATCCATTTCAAAATCTTTTCTTCTTTCCAGAACCAAATCGACTCTTAAAGTTTGAACTGGGTGGAGGCGTATTCAATAAGCTTGGTGCAGGGGCAGTGTTCAGAGAGAGCAGTGATGGTATGGGTCTGGGTTGGTCTCTGCTGTACCCAGATTGCTGCTGTTGTTGTTGTTGTTGCTGAGCTGACTGCTGTTGTGGAAGAGGTAACAGAGGCCCCTGTTGTGGCGTCCCCCCACCTCCAACTGTGCTGCCAGCAGACGGGGGCGTGCGGCTCCTCTGGGGGGGCTGCGTAGGGAAAGTCGCTACAGACTGTGGGTACGCCACACTCTGACTGCTCTGCTGCTGCTGTGTAAATGCATAAGGTGGTTGCTGCTGTTTCTGTTGTTGTTGTTGTTGCTGCTGCTGCTGTTGAACTCCTGTGGAGAAGGCAGGAGTGTGCTGTAACTCTGGTCCACCTGTACTGTACCCCTTGGGTGTCCCTGGCATCAGGGTCTGTACTGGCACCCCTCTACTGGGGGGAGGGGGGTAGTGGGGAGGACCCTTTGCTATCCCTCCTGCAACAGAAAAACAATTATCTTTTAAGATTAAAATGAAGTAATTATTTCCCTGTTTTATCAGTGTAGAGGTATTTTTACCCTTCTACCTTGGGAGAAAAACTAAAAAGACTTTCCATGTTATTCAAATCACATTTACATCCTGTTCAAATTCCAAGAGCTCACCAGCTATAAGCCTGTGTCCCTACCTTGTTGAGTGAAAGGTGCTGGCTGTGTAGCATAGGCTACATTTGGTGGCATCCCTGGTATCAGAGATGGTATAGGGTGGCCCACAGCTGCAGGGGGTGGAGGCACCATCTGAGGGGGTGGGGCACCACATGGCCGACCCTGGGAAGGTAGGAATCGCATCTGGCTGGAGCCGGGATCTGAAGATATAAAGCATGTATAGATGTACATAGCTGCAGACTGGAACAATTTTTTCCATTATTTAAGTGAATATTTCAAGGATTTTTTTTGATATATACTTCCAATGATAACTTTATCTTCCAGTGGCCTACCAATACAATCCAGCAAAAGAAAGAAATTCTAGTTTTTGAAATAAAAATTCCCATAAAATATCTCCAAGCTTGTACCCCAGCACTCTACGCTGAGTCTAACTGAGTCTGAAAATCTAAAGACTACATCTAGCTTTTTGAGAGAGTTTTCTTTTATATAACAAGTCACAGGCTCAATGTACATAAAATACTCTACAACACATGCAAAATAACCAAACAAATAAAATTATCAATATTCAAACTATCAAAATTAATATTAAAAAAAAAAAAAAAAGAAAAGAGAAAATGCTATCTATTGAAACACTCGAGGGAACCTACAGCAAGTATAAGTTTAATTGGCATGAGAATTGCAGTGTTATAAAAGCTGTAAGATACCAGAGTTAAAAAGCTTGTGTGGTCAACATACAGACAGTTCCCCACAGAAACTGAAAGGGCACCACTCCAGAGTTAATGGTCATTTAACCGGTCAAGCCACTAATGTGCTACAAATCCCCTCCCCAGTCCAACAATACCATGGAGTCCAAGCACAAGTTTGATTAACTTTTCCACAAAGCTCACAAGTAGCACCATTGTGAAGGAGTTGCAATTTCCTGACTTCACGAGCTAAAGCTGCCTCCCTTGCCCCAAAGTCTCCTGCCGAGGGAAACTTTTCACGGCTGGCCTTATGCAATTAAAAGAAAGGTATAAAGCTAAGGTGGTAGGATGGCATTGAGGGAGTTTTTCAGTAATAAGCGGCTGTGTGGAGCCAGAACCATTGACCAACACAGCAGTCATCGCTTTTAGCTGCAGTCCTGAGATCCATGTCAAGTATTCACCTGTGGTATTCACCCCCCCCCCTCCCCCCTCCCTCCTCTCTCTCTCTCTCTCTCTCTCTCTCTCTCTCAAAACACAGTGAGAGATCTCATGACAAAGGTGATTACAGCTCAATTTCCCCCCTCTCCTTCCCTGTAACAGTACACTTGGTCACCATGACACCGCCATGACAAGATAACATCACGCCTGGTCCAGTCATGCAACTGTCTTGCTGAGACTAGAGCAGCCTGTCAAAGGGGGACAATGTGAGGGTTTGACGAGAACTGCGAGAGACAAAGCCCCGTGATATGGCCACCAATATACAATGGCGTGCTTGGCAGTGAGAACTCGTAACTCGCCTTACTCCCTATCTGTTAACCAGACAGGCATGAAAACATTGGATTGCTCTATATTGCTCCACATACATTCAATGATATCAAAACTAGACTTCAAAGCAACACATGACACAACTGGCACAAAAGCAACATGTTAAAATGAAATTCTGAATTGCCACGATGAAGATGTTGAAGACTGAGGGACATCTGATTATTGCTGCTGGCACTGGTAAAAAATATCCCCTCTTACAAGAATTTCGCATGACAAAACGGTGTCAAATTGGTGCTACACACAAAGAACTGCCAAAATATCGTTTTTAGCACACTAACACGCAACCTGGCAAAGGTTCAAGCCATCTGACACGTATATATGTAACCAAGTTAGAACTTTAAAAAGACAAAGGTTCACTTGGTTTGGATAAAAACGCTTTTTCCCCCGCAGGAAACCTCCCCTCAAAATTACCCATCTGCCAAATTGCAAGACAGATTGGGGATCAAAACAAATAACACCCTTTTTACAATGTCAGAGCGCAAGCGCTCACATTTGTTTCGAGGACTTCCTCCGTCAATTTTCATTTCATACTGCATAATGCATGCAGTGGGCCATAGCCACAACAACTGAACAGCTGAAGACGTTGGCCACCCATGGAATACCCACCCAAAAGATACTACTGTACCAAAGAAAGAAAGAAAATTATTCTTTTCCACTTATTATTCTGTGAATATGTGTTAGTTTCAACAAAAAATATACTGAAATGAAGATTCAGTTTTACTTTGATTTTCCTCATAAAAACACTGATGAAGCGAATAAACAAGGAAGAAATAACTCATATGAATGCCAATGGCATTTCAGAAATATATGAAAAAAGATAAAACAATTTAACACCACAACTGAAATACACACAACTCAACAATACTACAATTAGTAGCTTTACCACTTCAACTAGAGCAGCAACTACAAATTTAAGATTAAATCACTCAAAAGTAAGTCTATGAAAAAATAAAAATAATAAATAGCTTGTACAAAAAAGCAAGCAAGGAATGCACACAGCAAGCCCGTCACTCACCATCTGCAGGTTTCCCTGGGGGTGGTGGAGGGGGATGGTCAGGAGGGGGTGGGGGAGGAGGGGTGTCTGAATGCCGCCTTGGACTGCGGTGGTGCTCTGCTGTAACAAAGCAAGGAGAAAGTGCTCACTTCATTGCTGTTGCTATGTTATGTGTAAAATCGAGTCATTTGTATAACATCTATTCATCAATGCGCTGAGCTATTGGCATAATCTACTTTTATATCACATTAAAAATATCATCATGTAATAACTCTGACTTACATCTACAAATAATTTGTTTCTGCCAATTATGGCTAAAGTTTTTTTGTTCATTAGAAGCAAACTATCCTTAAAACACAATTTGCTAGTCATCACGCAGAAGGGTAGTGAAATGTATAATGGTCTTCAGTAAACGACAGAAAAGATAGGTGACTATCTTGCTTTAAAACACAGCAAGTTTTCCCACTTGCTGGACGTCCCCTGGTATGCCCACTTGGACCTTACGTGATTACAAGTGAAAGAGAAGTGCGCGTGTGTGTGTGAGCAGCTGATAAGACCGGACTCATCACTTCCCATTCAGCAATAGCAGCAGGCTCGACTCCCGAGTTATTAATGTAAGCATACAGTAATTATGACCAGCAAGGCAGAAGCCAGCTGGGTGGCTACTTAGTGTCCAGCATAGGTTGAGAGCTCACTGCAGGCCACCCAGGTGATCCAAGCAGGGAAATAACGCCAGAGGTGACATAACTGGCCGGCCAATTACACCCTGACATAATGGACAACTAATTCACTGCTGTCCTACCTCATGATTGGAGCAGATATCACTGGAGATAATCAATCCCTAACTAGTCTGATACACTGTTATTAAGAGCACCGGGGAAATAATTGACAGTGAAATATGGGCCCGGGGAGATAGGGGAGGATTTAGGCCTCATATAGTGATTTGTATAGGAGAGAAAGCGGACATTGTCCAGTGGTGATATCAGTGTATTCATGTTTAAGTGGACAAAGGGTTTACTTCTACTAAAGCTGCTCTCATCAGTCCAGCATCCTTTGTCATACCACTCCTGGTCAGCATCAAGACAGGTGATAATATTGTGCCCTTTTCCACTTTGTCTGGCAAACAGGTTCAACTGTCTACGCAGATTTTATTTGGGGCGAGGGGGGGGGGGATTAAATGCAAAAAGTTTATCATCCAGGTATCTTTTTTGATTGCAAATATACTTTTGAAAAAAAAAAAAAGAATTTTTTTTTTTTTGTAACTGATGCCTTATAACAAGAGTAAGCGATGACAGTGTTAATGTACCTGTCCAATGCTGTTTTTCCTCTTCCTCTTCATCGTCCAACCCAAACTCCATCCTCAGTCTCTCTGTCAAGCTTAGCTGTTTCTGTGGTGGTTTTGGCTCTGGTGGAAATGGTGCTGTTATTGTCGACGACGAGGAGGAGGTGGCTGCTGCTGATGGTGGTTTCCATCGGACATCACTGTCATTTTTTCTGTTTGCTGCCAAAACAGCTTTCAACTTTTCTTCCAAATCTGTGGATGGAAAATAACTTAAGAATATTTTTTTTTCAACGCTGCTTGAAATATCATAAAATAAATGATAGTGGATAAATAAACTTGGCATATTTTTTAACTGCCTAAGAACTTATTAGTACATAAAATGGAGGAGAAATTGACAAATTAATTTTTCTTAAGACTTCCAAACTGGTGCAGAAAAAATATGGGGTCTTTTTCTATAGAAAGAAAAAGGTCTGGCCTCAAATAAATGTCACTAAACCCATTCAAATATTTTATGGCAGCAGAATTAGGCAAATAAATGTACCCAGCTCAATGCAGAGCATATCCTAGATACAATAGGCAGGGGAAAAATAAACAACACGCAGACTTCGCATGAAATATGTCTACAAGAGGTGGGATTTAACTGTTACTCCTTGTTACTGTTGTCCATGAAAATTGTCAATAAATCCCTCTGGTGCCAATACAGAATACACGGATATTACACAGCTCAGTGAACAACAAGAGAGCCGAGTCAGGAAGGCACTCTCAACGCCAGCCTCATTAAGACGGCCACAGTCTTTCTCCATGCCCACCCAGACTCCGGTCACATAAAAATACCTGAAGCCTTTGTATGCTGATTTAACTCCCTAAGTTGGTAATGTTTCCCTCACTTCACACCAATACTACAGGTCTTTTTACGCACATATTTACCCAGAGCACAAAACCCCCTTGCCCATATGTAACCCGTGCTTGGGGCTGGAATTAGGAGGGCGGAGGGGGACTCTTAAGCCGGGATTAGCCAGTGACAAAAACAACTGGAGGAGATTGTTATGAACACAGGGGGAAGGGGACAAACAAAATCCAGGTGACAAGACCTCTCACACAGCTCTGCCTTTCAGGATAATTTGCAGCACGAAGTCATGCATTGGAAAGAAAAGCATGATCCCCAGATAAAGACACCCAGACCATTGAATAAATTGTCCCAAGCTGGCTGTTGACAATTAATTTGTCATTCCTCCCCAAATCCCATAATAACAGGTGTATTCTCAAGGAACAAACCCAGGCATTTGATACTAAAAAGGCGGCAGAGTATTCAGACAAAGGCGCTTTAAGGTGATGATTAAGCATTCGCCTCGCAAATAAAATGGGATTAAGCTACAACCAATTTGTTCTTATCTTTCAGAAGAGTGCCTTTTAATCTTCCAGTTGAAATGACTACCTTGACTACAATGTGTGGTTGACTTAAACATCCTGATTTTTCCTCTTTAGGTACAATGTAGAGCAACAGTCCGATATGGTTAACAGTGACTTGGAAATCATTGGAAAGATTAATATGGTGTAGAAATGATGAAGATGGAGAGATAGGGAGGCAGGCCAAGCAATGCATTATTTTCTTCCCACATCAAAAGAGAAGATAAACAACCCTGTGGACAGGTGTTTACAGTGACTGATCTTATCATCCTCAAATAGGAAAAAAAAAGACTTTCCCCACAAACCTTGACCCATTATATAAACCAAAACATGTTACTTATGATAGAAACAATTGGAGCAAGTCCCCATTAGAGTCCCCTCACTGTAGAGAGAGGAAATGATAAGGACAGTTATCTGATTGCACCTGCTGTTATGACCAGCACAAGTTCCACACAACAACCCCAAACTTTATATATGTATATATATATATTTATTATCTTTTTAAAGATATACATATCTTCCTATGTTGCTTATGCAAGGTACTCACTTCCTATATTTGGTCTCTCCCCCTCTCTTGCTGGAATGCCACTGTCAAATAAAGGCAGGGAGGGGAGTGAGGAGACGGGCCCCGTCAGCCTGGGGGACGTGGAGGGGAACCCCGGGGTGGTGGGGGTCTTGGTTGGGGTGGAACTGGCACTGTTGCTAGCTGAGTCAATGCCCTTGTCCTTCCGCCGCTTTCTGTACTCCAACAGAGACACCTGGTGGGAGAAAACGAGAACTAATTGGTTATTTGATGAAAGTGGTGACACCTATTGGCAATCAAACACACTAAACTGCACCATTTAATGGAAGAACATTTTTCATTGAAGAATGAGGAATTTATTAAAATTCAGCAGTTAAATTTACTGTGATTTAAACAATATTTCTTTTGAAAACTACTTCCTATTTAATGAAATCACATAAAAACACCACTTACAAATTGTACATCTTAAAATGCACTAACTTATCAGATAATTAAAAAAAAAGTAATATGTCTGTAAGTGCTGTTTAAAAGGACCAAAATAAAAATTCTATCAAAGAAACCAAGTTACCTTTTTCTTGGATGGTGGTGGCGGTGCCGTGGGTGGTGACCCTGCTGTGGGATTCAACCCACTTGTGGAGCTCACTTCCCCTGGAGTCCCCATAGCTGGGGTCACTGTTGCTGACACTGTGGCCACACCCACTGACATCCCTGGCACCACTGACGTGCCCACAGCACCAAAATGTGAAGACAGCTGCTGTTGCTGCTGTAATGCCATTGTATTTAGGGTGGAACTGGACACAGACGACTCCACAGAAAATGCACCACTTTCCGTTGGCACTTGCCCGCCTGTCATCGGCTCCTGTACTGAATTGGATGTGGCCTCCACTGTGGCAGGCAGCAGGGAAGGCTGCGCCTCATTCAATGCACTGCTCCCCACTCCCTCAGACACACTGGACTCCATGCTGGCCAACTGGCAGAAACGTTTCTTGGGGGAGAACGTTGAACTGACCGACTCTTTGCTGCACTGGTCACCAGAACTGGACACAGAGTCCGACCTGAACCTGGTGTACTCGCTGTCCACCGCCTCCGTGATGCTCGAGCTGACATCTGCAGCGCTCATTCCCTGGGCACTGGTGCACTTATCTGTGCTGGATGTTGTGCTGATTATGGCCACGTTGTCCTCCCGGCTCCGGTCAACCACGCCTGAGGAGGAGGAGGAAGTGTCTATCTGTTCACCGCCAGCCCTGTAACTGGACTCGGCCACGTTACTGGAGCTCACACTCTTTTCCTCATCCATGCTGTTCTCCCCAATGTCCACTGTCCGCGAGCTGGAGTCCACCTCCATGCTGTCGTCCAGCCTCTCTTGTACGGAATCTGAACATTCCACCGGGGGCACCTGTGAACTCTCCGCCTCCTGCTGCTCTGCCCCCTCAGGTAGACACTCCCTTTCACAGTCTATGGATGCGGTTCCTGCTCTATTCCCTTCCTGGTCCTGTAACAGACGGCTGTCCATTTCAGGCAGTCTTTGATTTGTAGTATTCGAAGAGGCAGCCTCTGTTACCACTTCCATTGGCTCTGGTTTTCTACTCAAATATGATGACGATAACGATGACGACGATGATGATGATAATCCTGCAGTGATAAGCTCAGAGCTACTAGCCTGATCTGTCTGCATGGCAGTGTCACTATCACTGAATTCCTCCACTCTGTTATCATTAAGTACATCATCAGGTCTTTTAGAATCAACTGAAGTCCTTGAGGTAATCTCCACATCCTCTTTATGTCTCTCATACATGGCATTTTCATTCTGTTCACTATTTTCACTGGAACAGCCAGGGTTTGCCCCAGGGCCTGTGTTACTGGCCATTTCACTGTCACCTTCAGTGTCCAATTTGTTCCCACTGATCTTTTCACTGTCGAACTCCAGGTCTAACGCAGATTTCCGCCGGTTTAATATGGATTCTGAAAGTTCGCTCTCCGTGGACTCCTGGTGCCTGAGGTCTCCACCTTGACCTTCATCTGACAGCCTGCTAAACTTCTAAAATAAAGAAAGAAGAAATGATTAAATATCTTCACTGAATCTGTCACGATCTATGTATTAAGCTACACTGGATAACATCTATACAGATCTTATTTTAAGGAATTATTCAAGTAGCAATATTTTAAACATGTTTACAGTAAAGTTCTGTTTAAAAAGTGATATAATCATGTCACTTACTACAGTATTAACATCTGTTACTCATAGACTTCCACTAAGGGAAAAAATTGCCTTTGTATTTAACTAGCAATACTAGTAGTATGTTGGCACAGTCATTTTGTCCAATAACAAAAAAATCCTTCAAACTCCAAAAACTTACTTCAAACAAATTATCACTAGGTGTCACTGGTGTCATGGGTGAAAACTGCGTCCTGAACCCATTCCTGGTTTTAGCCTCTACTTCGGGAGTAGCAAAATTAACGGTCGCTGAGGGCTTTACTCTTTCAACCGAGACCGCTGCAGGAGTGTCTTTGCTGTCTAACCCTGCTGTCACTGCAGTGGGTTGTGATGGTACAGTCTCGACTGTTCCTGCTCCTATGTGGATAGGCTCAGTGGAGGGGGTGGACGGAGTTGGGGGCAAGATGCCACTCTCGGAGGAAATGGACTCCCTGGCCAGGCGGCGCTTCTTTAATGGTGTCACAAAATCCACTGAAACAAACAGATAATAATAATGGTTTCAAGGATTGCATGGTTAATGAAAAGGGATGAAATTTTAAGTAAGGACAATTTCACCTTCAAGAAAAATTATTCATATTACATTCACAGCATCCGAAATAGCATGTACCTGTTTTTAAGTACATTTCCACTAACACCCATACCTGTATTGAAAGAGAATTAACGACTTCTTGATTAATGAAGCTGTGCGTTAATTGTATATCTTGAAAGTGATAATAAAAAGCAGGTGCTTCATAAAAATGTGCCGAGATGCTAAAAACATAATTAGTGTGTACAAATTTTCAACTAAATATGCCACCAAAGAATTATTTCATTAGGCTCAAGTCTAGAATTTTTTTGCAATGGGCTCATTCCAAACATCAAATAGTACTGTTATCATTTTATACATGTACATTTACTAAACTCTGTTGCTTTCCTTGTACATTACACATACCGCATATGACACAAAAAATATCCCTGGGAAAGTATTGGTTTGCCTACCTGGTTGTGGAGAAGAGCCTGGACTTGGAATATTGGCATGAGGATTGGGGCTGGTCCCTTCATGCACGGGGGAGCCGCCCTCACTGCTGATGCTGTTGTTACTCTCAAACATGGCCTGCCGAAGCCAACGCTGCAAATAAAACAGATCATTAATTGGACTCTGATGTTTAAATTTTCTTAACAAATATGTTTATTGTACACTGTTAGCCAGCAAGTATTGGATGAATGAAAACAATTATCTGTTGTGTCTACATATCTATTAATCCTGACCTAAAACAAGTTTCTATTGCCCATGAAAAAAACTTTTTGGAAAACCTTCTGACCTGAGAAGGCTTCTACTAAATTGATGATCATTTTGGGTTGGAAATGGTAACTAGACAGAAAAGCTGGCATATATCCAGACATAAAACAATATACCACAAGATTCTATTAACATGAGACTTTGACGAGATGAGACTTCCTGCATTCCCAAAAAAGTCGGAAAACCACGGACAGTCTGAAAAAATCTCATCCATGCATTAACGGGCATAATATCAGCACAAATGGGCATCCCACATTTGCACACTATGATCACCACCCACACAAACATACACACACACAAAAATAAATAAAATAATAAAAAAAAACCTTCTTGGCCGAGCCCAGGCTGGCTTCCAGGTTGGATTTCCCTTGGCTGGAGGAGAAGCTCCCTCTGCGTAGGTGGTTCAGGGACATGGAATGGGGGCTGGGCACACACATGACAAAGTCGGCAGTCTCCGTGGTCACCTCCAGAGGCTCCGTCTTGACACTGAGCGGCCTCTGGAGGTCCTGGCTCTTCTCGTTCAACCACTCATTCATCAAATGCTAGGATGAAGGAAAAAAAAAATACAGTTTGTGTTAAATGGACTGTCATTATTTTTCACCGGAACATTAAAATATGCAACCCTTTCTTATGAGAAAACTCTTAGTATACCACTTAAAACTACATCTGAGAGAAATGCCATACTGTACTTGCTTCAAGAGCAGAAACCAAAGAATAATCATTTGGCCTCCCTTATCATATTTTCAGCAAGCGTTTTTATTTCCCTCTCCAACCCAAAGAAATACAATCCTGGCTATATGCTCTTGCACCTCTGGCACTGGGAGGGGTTTTTTCCCCCATCTTTGTTTACTCAAATTACAAAATGACAATGAAAACTTCCTTTTTAATCAGTTCTGCTTCGAGGATAATTTTCATCACCAACCATCAATCTTGAAATATTCATTTTAGATCAATCCTGAACAGGAGTAAAAATTCAGATTATTTTCCTCTAACCACTTCTCAATTAACCTTCTTATGACCAAGTGTTTTATCTTTAAGCTAAACTTAACAGGCACTAGCTTTATCATGCTAGGGTGAAGTTCTGACCCATCAGCACATACTGCTAGCACACACACTTACTTTTTTGGTCTTTGGAAAGCGGAAGGCTCTTTCGGCTGGTGTCAACTGTGGCCCGTCTTGTGGTGGCGCCACCCCTGTCCCTGGCATACTGAGATTACTGCCTTCATCAGGAGACAGTACGGAGTCCGAGTAGTGAGAGTTCCCGCTGATGTTACGACTCCGCCGCCGTGCTGGTGTGGCACTGCCACGTTTACCCTTTTTCCTGCAGTGATAAAAATAAAATCATGTAATATGAATATTAAAACCTATTATGCTTCAATCAACTTCTGACTGGAGAATGTCAGTCTTCACACATAACAATAATGCCAATACGTTAAGGCCATTCACCCACAAGTCGCTTGTTGATCAGCAAAACTTAAACTTGTTGAACAAGTTGAAAATTATAAATGAAAGTTGACATCTTAAGTGCCACGAAAGGTGGTTTAATTGGGTCAAGACATCAAAATTTTTCATAAAGATCTATGTTTAAATATCAAGAATAGTATTATAAATTTTTTGTGAGTAAAGAAACTGGACACCTTCAATCCTAAAATTGTTTAAAAAGTTATCAAATTTACTTTTGAGGAGGCTTGGGCTTTTCTTTTGGCTGGTCCTCTTCACTTTTTTCACTCTTTTCCTACAAAAGTACAAAGAACACATAATACCCGCTTCCAGTATAAGCTAAAAAGACACCCAATTCAAAATGACAATGGTCCAACTCAATTGAAATTTTTTTCTAAACGTGTGTACAGAAATGAAGTTATTGTAATTAAAAAAAAAAGAAAAGATCAGTCATTTTACCTCTTTTTTTTCTGTCTCTTGCTTCTGCTTCTTTAAGGCAAGTCTCTCCAAGGCTTCTTTTCGCCTTTCTTCTCGCTTTGCTAGCTTCTCAAAAGCCTTCATGATGGCATCCATCTTTCTTTCCTCTCGAGACTGCAAAAATTAAATTAAATTACAACACGAATGCAATTTATTCACCTCAACCAAACTATCTTTGCTGTTTCAATAACAAATATTGCCATTTTTGTTCTTATGTTTTTCCATGCAGATTAATACACAGGAGGTTTAAGATTATGGTCATAACCATCACTTTTACACACGTGAGCTTGGGCATATAAGGAAATAGAAAACTCTGGGAAGTGAAATTAGATTGTATTGACGTACCATGTTTTTCTGTCTTTCAGCCTCAGCAGCGGCTGCAGCACGAGAGTCTTCTGTAGGCCCCTCACCCGCATTGCTGTCCCCATTGACATCGTCTGTGGAGTCCGGGTGATCCTAGGAAACAACAAACTGGAATTATTTTGTATTCAAATATCAACATGCTGTCGACATCACTCAACCTAACCCTATTTTCAATCTAAACACTAGAAATCAATAAAATGTCAACTGCAATTTTCCCCTGAATCATAAGCTTAAATCTGAATATTTATCCAGGAGGTATAAACAAAATTTGTACCAAACTGATATAATGGGTGAATCGATTAAACAACTCTGTTATAAAGTAGTTAAACTGACCATTGAATTTTTTTTTTTTTTTTTGTAAAAATTAAGATACTACACTTAAGAAAACACTCATATCACACCATCATATTCACACAAACCCAATCCTAATTCGCTTCATATGTATTACAGAGAGTGTATTCTCTATACTAACCTCATCCATGTGCGTCTCCCCATTTCTGCTATCAGATGTCCCCTTGTGTTTCTTCTCTGGTGCCGAGACTACATCTACACAACTGTGGTCATCTCCTGACCCACCACCGGACTCTTCCTTGGACGAGTTGTTCCTCTTATTCTTCTTTCCAGCACTGTTAAAACAAAACAAGTGATCCAATTGCAAGTCATGTAGAACACAAGGGAATACTATGTTAACACAAACAGTTTTTAATAGTGATGTGATTTTCACATGTATATAACAGAAACAAGGCATGCATTACTTATGACATTTTCATCTTTATATCAGCAAAATTTGACAAAGAAACAGTGTATGATCCTCAAGATTAAGAGGTATATATTTCTTATCTTACATACGAAGAAACATATCCCAGTCTTACCTGACTTTGTTCTTCACTTTCCTGCTTTCCAGAACTTGACAATGATGGGAGTCCAGGCAGCAAGCACACTCAACAGCATAATCACTGCAAAGAAAATGAGCAAATACACATCCGAACAACATTCTCCAATAATAACTTGCCTGTTAAAAAGATAATATTCAAACTATTAAGGTAGAAATAAATGAAGTTGTATAATTACTCTAAGTTTTCGTTACCAGTTAATCTGTGAATATATACTATGTCTACATGAACTCAATACTTAATAGTTTCTCCACAAATAGCCAGTGCAAATAGCACTTCATTAAGACACCTACATAAAACTGGATTAAAACCCACAGTATTGATCTCTGCTTATGTGATGGATTAAATAATCACTTCTGACAACACATTTTACAGCCTCCTTATTATAATTTCACCAAGTTGGGAAGATCTACAACCATTTTCCTCCCTTAGATGATAAGCCAGTTCCTTCACTTACCAGTCTTGGTAATTGTAATCAAAGGGAATTGTGATTTCTGCGCCTTTGGCAATGTGCGTCACAGAGTAAAGGAAAAGATGAAGCTTTCCATTCTCCACCAGGTGGCGCACTTCTGTATTGGGGTGGCACGACCTCCGCACGAAGCGGGCATCATTCCCACAAGCACCTGCGTCCACACAAATGTCCAATCCTTCAAATTTAGGGTAGAACAACACAAACGGGTATAACCTGGAAAAACAGAGTACAGCTATCAGCCAACAGCTAAAGCTATGCATTTTACTCAAAGGAAGGATCCACATCAGAGAGTGACTCATTAAATGCCTGTGAAGTTCTTCCCTAACTAGGTTTATATATAGCCTAGCTCAAGAGATATCTTTGCATTAAACCAAGCAAAATAAGGACACGCAAGGCTTTCATTCAAGTTGCAAGTCCCTAGTGTGGGCTAAGAACATGATGCAAACAAATTCATACCTAGCATTTACAATGTCAATAATAATATGCCTGCTGCATTGTCATGCCAACATAATAACTTTACCTTTTAAAGAAGGTATCGTCTTTATCAAATTGCTGCCTTAACATGAAGATGCCTCGGAATTCCATAATGGCTTTATTTGCTGCTATGTCCTGGGAAGATTTCAAACCCTGCAATGAAAATAATGGAAAATACAAGCAACTAGTGTAATAAAATGCAAATCAAGGCCCACATTGTACTCCTTGACTTACTTCAGTTATATCTAGATAATCTACCTGGGAACCAATGACCACCACCAACTATTTACAGCTAAGGGCATTACCTCTGCAGAAACAGCAATTTTATTAAATTTATTGAGCACACTGAAAATGTTCACAAAGAGAAAAAGTTAATCCTAACATCACGCCTATTGTTTGTTTCCATAATCCAAAATATAAACAAAACCTATTAATCATACTGAAAGCCAAAACAGCAAAATTATATCCAAAATATTTTTATGACATCAAACATGAAACAATGATATAGGTAAAATTATGTAAAACTTCGGGGTTTTTTTTAGCCCAGTTAACACCAATGATAGGCGTTGGAAAATGCTTTTTATCTCACAAAAGCTGCCTCCTCGAGACACCACATTTTTGATCCAGGGTAACACATTCCCTATACACAGTACAAGTAAATTTCTTTAACATTTCTCAGTATTTTGTGCTTACCTTTCTGTTGTGTGCCACCTGGGCCACAGTGTACAGCTGACCCAGCAGCTGCTTAAAAGGGGCAGATTCCTCCAAAGGACCATTCTGAAAAGTGGAAAAACCAGATGAACAGAGAATCCCCTATTTAAAATATCTGTTCATCTCTATGTAAAATTCACCTTTAATATCTTTTTTACAATAATGAAACTGAGCAAAAGGGAACATGCTGATATCATCACAATTTGATTACCACTCATTTGGCAGGTGCTGGATAATTATTGTTTAATGTCTTTGGACGTGTTTTTTTTTTATTTTTTATTTTTTATTTATTTATTTTTTTTTTCACAGAATGATGCATCTTCTGCCTAAAAGCTTTGTTACTAACAACACACATCAATGGAAACCACTAAAACAGGTTTTTAGTAACTCACATGTAAACCATTATATCTCTCTGCAACCACATCTTGTATTTCTGCACAATACTGGTTTGTTTTTGCCTCTTCAAAACTGTCTGTCCATGGGCTAAATAAAAAACATCAAGGGAGAGAAAATCAATTTTTTTCAGCTCCAAACATGTGCACAGGAGAGAAGAGCCTCATGGTAGTAAAGACATCAATAACAAAACTGTGATTTATTCAATCCGGATTAACGAGAAAAAAAATAAAACATCAGAATTATGCCGTATAGATTAAAGGCAACATAACAATGCTCCATTAAATCCTGCAATGTTCATAAACGTCTGAACAATTGCAGCACATCAAAAACAATTTCTGCATGCAGAGTCTCCCAGGTTCAGACAGTTAAAGCACTCACCTCAGAGAACAGTCCCAGGGATCCTGGGCATTTTCATCTTCTAGCACTGGCCCAGGGGCCTTCTTTGGAAGCTGCAGGAAAAAAACCCACCAAATCAATCCCAGACTTTAAACAAGGTGATGCCAAGCTTGGTTCTTTAATCCTCGGAGGATATGATGTACATTTACCTCTCTCCTATTGTCTATTAATCTTGATTACAGAAAATACAGCGTGGACTACTCTTATGTTTACTCAATGCACCTAATGGAGATATCAAACAGATTCTAGAATGTCCTTTATTCCCTGGATGAAATTATTTGAAAGATAAAAAAAAACAAGGCAGCAAAGCTGTCAAATGTACAGACAAAAAACAGGAAATAACTATGCACTAAATAGGCTACTGTCAATTCTGATGCAAAAGAACATTATGTTAAACTGCAAATTCAACATCAAATTTTAATTATGCTCAACAGGTAATACCAATGTAAGTAAAATGTGTAACAAGTTCACACTTTGAAAATGTATAACTTCCAGAAAAAGAAGCCAATTAGACTGCTTTTCCAACTCAGGCTGCATTTTAGTCCTGTATTTCTTTTTTGAAAGTTTGGCAATCATAAGTAACATGGTTTTCCCATAATGGTCATCATGGCAGCAGCACCCAAAATTGTGTTTTCTTCTATTCTGATGCCATATTACATAATGGTTAACAGCATAATGACCGTCAATTTNACAAGTTTACCATCATTTTTACATAATCAACTAACAATGTTGTAAAGATGCAGGAAATGTCAAACAAACACTTTTACGTATCTTATTAGTTCAATAATGAGACTGTTAACATGCCTAAGAGTTGAATCTGAGGAAATGTGAAAAAACAGCATAACTTCTAAAATAATGCCCCGATTATGCTGATTTTTGAACTCAACCTGCGTTTTAGCAGGATTGATCACTCCTATGAGTTTCATGACAATCGGCCAATCTGTTTTTCTTATATTGTGTTTACAGTGTTTCATATATGCTGAAAAGTGAAAAAACAGCATAACTTCTACAATAATGGCCTGATCATGCTGATTTTCAAACTTGACCTGCGTTTTATGAATATTTATCAGCTCTGTAAATATTAAGCCAAAAACTAAAACTGCCTTCCACGTATCGTGTTTACAATGAAAGTGCACGGCGACGGCATCGCCATCGGCATCGGCATCGCCATCGGCGACGACGGCGACGACAGACGCAGGTGATGGCAATATGTACAGACACATCTGTGTCTGTACATAAAAAAAGAGAGAGAGACAAAGGACGCAAGAAAAGGAACTTCACATGAAAATTCTTGTCTCTAGTTAATCATCAGTTTCTTCTCCTATTACTGCCACGTCAGCAAGGGAACATTAGACTTAATAACATTATCCAACTCCAGCAGCCCATCAATATCAGTGGTTTCTGCATTGAATTCTGATACCACTGCATAATCCTAGATTACGCCTCAGTAAGCCACCAGAATGAATTTCAATCTTTACAAGCCAAAGAATATTGATATTATCTAAAGCACACAAGGTAACCAATCTGAATATCACCTCTAAAAATTGGTGTAAGGGAGATCTATTCATCAACATTTATATACATACAACCAATGTTATATACACTTGGTACTAATTTCATTTATTTTTCATTAAAAAATTAAAACATTGTAATGATATTCTGGTAATCTTATATATTTTAATATATCCGATATATTCCAATATGTGTGCTATTATGATCTGGCATTATAATATGGCAAAAATCTTATTATCTAAATGTGGCACCTACTGACACTGAATCCCTTATTAACTAGATCACAGATATCAAGATGGAATTAATTCCCTAAACACACCTCTGCCTGGACTCGACTAATCAACTGTACTTGCTAGCAGACAGTAATCAACAGAACTTGTATCAACAGCTTACCTTCATTCGAGTAGATTTCCTCTCGCCTTCTCGGAAATTCTGGAATTTTACAAAATGACAACTTAATAGTGGACTTAATAACCAACAAAACAAATTTCGTTTGGAAAAGGTTGGACTTAGTTCTGGTGCTTTCTCCCCCCTTTCTGAAACTATTTTGTTACACTGCCTTCACTAAATATGACATTTTCTGTTTACATTTTTCTTCATGAGCATAATATCTGTAATAATGATTATAATATAAACTCAACTAGCAAGAAAAAAACAACATGTATCAATATTACTGCTTACTGAATTTTTCTTCTTCTGTTTGTCAGATACACTACTATTGCTGTTGCCATCTTCATATTCTGCCTTAACAGTTCTTTTGTTTTTGTTCTTCTTTTCCTTTATTTTTTTCTTATCTCCTTTGTTATTATTGTCACTGATTACATGTGTTTCCTTCTTATTTTTCTTGGTTGGGGTAAGGGTAATGGAAGTGGGAGAACTGGCCTTGGCTATGTATGAAGTTTCATTATCACTATCTGAGCTGGTATCTGAAATTGATAGCAAAGATGATAAATACTATGTACAGCACTCTCTGGAGTTGCATGACACTTCTTCCCATGACAGAAAAAGACAATAACTGAGCTAAAATAAATGAAAGTGCATCCATATTACAACCTCTCTTACAGTCTATGCATGATATTCCAAAGGCACCATAACTCTAAACAGCTCTCATAAACCAGTCTTGCTGTGTGATTCTGCTGGGCAGTTTTCAATCTCAACAGAGAACACAGAATTACAGCCAAATAGCTTATATACCCAATTTTGATAATAATAATTTGAAAACAAAAAGGGGGGAAGGGGCAATCATTATCATCATCAACCAAACATCATGAAACAAAATAGTATTTTGGATATTGCTCACACTACAAAACATCTGCTTTATACTGAAAATATAATTGGTGAAGCAATGCACACCAACTGGTTCTAAAAATTTGATTCAATATGCTTTCATTAATGTTTAACTAAGAAAGCAATATTTATCATAAAGTCATTCAATATTAATGGTTGACGATATATATATATGCACAGAATGGAACTTATTATCTGAATGCATTGATTTTCAATTCTTTCTATTGAAAGACTGAACAATGAAACTGAACAGAAGTTCAAGCAATCCTAATAGGTATACAAATACCCATTGTTTAACGAGCAATGTATACACGAGAACTAAGAAAGAGCAATGACACCAACCAGTGTTGTGATAATGTATAGTGTTCTGAGTTCAGTCTCTAGAAACAGTCATCTATAATATCAGTGGGGCAATTACTAGAAAATCAAACAAAGATATTGTTAAGGATTAAGAAAAGTAGGAGTGCTGGGTTAGTTGTGTATAAACAAAGAAGTCAATGCTTTTTACATATTGTCCAATTTGCATACAAACAGCAGGCTTGCTCTTTTGTTATTGCCCGATTAAGCGAAGCCTTGGAATTTTTCTACCTTCCAACCAGTACCTGTCTCAACAGTAAATCAAAGCTCTAACTGCTTAAGAAAAGTGCTTATAAACTGACTACTTCTCATTACATCAGAGTTCTACAAAACCTACAGCTTAACAGGTTTGTCACATCAACATGCATTCACTGTCAACTGTTACATAGCTAGCAACTTATCAAGCTTTCTCTAATTTTACTTCATCTAGATGCATCTATCTTCTCTCCTTTTTTTCACCCTCCTTACCTGACATGTCAGCTTTTTTCCTGGTCTGTATCCTAATAGCCCTCTCCCTGTCCACCTCCCTGGGCCTGCAGGTTTCACAGTAGTACGTCTCTGGGATGTTCGTCCTGTCCAACATGACACAGTCAATATGCTGCCAGACACTGGAAGCAAACCCAACAAAGTGGTCAAGTTCACCCCCCACACACATGGCAGTGAGCCCTACTGCAGCAATATGGGCAGCCTTATCAAGTTATCTACCATAAAAGGTTGCAGTGCACCCTTGGCAAGAGTTGAGTCTGGCTCAAAACTGTCAAGAGTGGATCTTAATGTTCAATGAGAATGTATATGGCACAACACAAAATGCAAAAACATATGTCTCTACCCTTAACTTACTATGTAATACTTCTCTTTAAAATCAAGGCTTATAAGAATGTGTATCTTTTGAAATAGAGTTTATCCAACAATATGCACTCCTCCTTTTTGCGCAATGTCATCTCAAGGCAAATTGAAACTGAAAATTGAAGCAACTGTGAGGAATTACCATAACGATAACAATCATGAACAATAAACGCCTCATCCAAGGTGTCAATCCTGTGATTTCTCTCCTTTCATTTTCACCTGTTCATACCTTACAGTTATTTTCCTTAGAAATGCCACCATGGCAGAAAGCAATTTTCGCAATCATTTTTAGCAGTGACTCAGTATCGCCAAGCTGATGAGTCAGCAGAACCAACTGGCACTGACACTGCTGATCTCCCAGTGCTACTTTCAATTAAACAACATAACATGAGATTGTTCAAAAATGCAACATATTGATGACACACAATTATCAAGATACAGCTGCCCTGAATATGAAGTAGGAAGTATTTGCTACTCAAAATGCAAACAGCTTTGAGTTACTGATGAAAAGCGCAAGAATAAATCATACGTTTCATTCAATGGTATTTGAAGATACTGGAAAAACATTCTTCTTTCCTCAAGAGGTAATGTAATGTAATGCAGGAAATTCTGTCAAAAAGCAAAACTCAGACAAACATAAAGAGTTTATTAATATTTCACAAATTCTCATCCAGAAAATTACTAGCTCACAAATACAATTAACAAGAGTAACATATGTCATACTAAACAAATGACAGAAGTAACAACTAGGAAAATTAAAAGGACCTATTCTGCAAAACTGTGTTCACTCCTTTCTTCTAAACTACATACTCGCCAGTACATTGAATCTTTCAAATTATACCAATTTTCTGGGAATTTGTCAACTCTAGGTAATACACTGAGAACAGTGTACTGTTTCTTTCCAAGACAACTATCGCTTTATCATTATTGCTATTATCATCACGTAAAAGTAGTGTAACTGAAAATCCAAACAAAACTCACCTGCACTGGTCACAACAGATCATGTATCCATCATCATGGTCCATGTTACATATACAGCGGGTGACACTATATGACCAGTCCTCCTCTTCCACCACCTGGACCTCTCCCGTCCCAGCTCCCCCTGCACCAACATTGCCACCACTGCTGCTGCTGCTCAGGCTGCTGTTACTGCTGTGGACCTCGTTGACCACGCTCTCTATCACCTCAGTGATATGGTCTACCACTGTGGTGTCGTCCACTCCGTGGTCCACGTGGCCGTTGACCCTGGGCACCCCCGGGGAGATTGGGGACTGCAGAGGAGGGGACTGCGGCGGGGTTGGTGGGGGAGGGGCTCCATAGTTGTGATCCTGAAACAGAAACAGTGCATCATGGTGATATTTTATCTACTATGTTATAAGCTAAATTTATGTTATGGATTTTTTTTTTCACACAAAAAGTGGGAGATGAGAAATGTTTACCTGGGGTATGGGACGTTGCCATAAACAGTCACATACCCAGAGAAAGGGACTGACCAGACTACTACTGGTGTGTTTCACCTACAGAGTGAAGAGTTTAGCAACGGTTGTCCTCTTTAGAGTACCTTCCCCTATCAGTGTCACAGTGGAGCCTCTCATTACAAACCATCCAGGGTTTAGCAATCATTAACTGCACCATTATCTTATCAGAAGTAATAATATACCAGTAAAGTATGTACCAGATTATAGGCCAGTACATTCAAACCTTTAATCAAAGCATGGATGCTACTACTAACGGTCTCCCATACTGATTATATGTTGTTGATCCTTGGTTCTAAAATATGATTAAATGTTCAGAAACTAACTTGGTATACTCAGGCCAACAATGTTTCCTGTAAAATGGGACAACAAAACCAAAGGAGTTTATGGCAACATGTATACTTCATTCTACAACAATGTAGTATGTCTCAATAGCCAGTGTCAAGACCACTTCAATAAAAATTGTCACTGATTACTGTTTTATTCCACTCTTCCCCATGGATTAAACAGGTTGGTTAGCTGACAAGAATTTTACAGAATGGAAATGCGGGTAGCGAGCCACACAAGAAGGTAAATATCTGAACATTTCGAAGTAAGAGATACATTTTAAAGCATTCCCTACATTTTGATAAGGTGAATTCAAAACCCACCTTTCTCGCACCACCTTGGCTTATGTTTTGGTTACTACACCCAAATCGCGATATTTGCAGACATGCTGAAACTGTTGGTCTGATCGGTCATGACCGTGAACATTTGTTTGGACCAGTACAAAATTGGACTTGGTCGGTCCAAAGAACCGACAAGAGTTTTATGAACCTCAATTTTGAATGTACAGTCATCATTTGACATACTTCACTAATAAAAATATTTAAAACCTAAAGCTTTTTCCCTTCCATTTCAAACCTATCACATTCACAAACAAAGTAAGCTACCTAATCATACTGGTAGTATCTGTCTCAAACGAATAGAGTGATTTCAGTCCGACAAAAATCCGTTCGGTCCGTCAAATTTTTCATTACTGCCTGTCCAAATGTCCGGCCATTCTGAAAAGTTTTCAGCATGTCTGTATTTGCCTAGTTCTCTTTTCATAACACAAACAAATACCTCCCACAAGTAACTACCACAGGGATTTCCTCAACATTACCTTGTCCAATTTTGTATATCCAGCGGCTTCCAGTATAGTGCTACATCCTCTAGTCTCGAGGAGCATGGTCCTATTGACAGCCTGTATTTCTCAAGTGTACCGACGGGACTCATGTAAGAGCTGTTCACGCCACCTCTCTCCTCCACAACCTTCTCCAAGCTTTCTGCTTGATGGCTGGTGTTCAGCTTAATAATCAAACCTGCTGTTGTCATAAGGTCACGTGACAATACCTGATAATTGCACACCAGGTAACTACGTTGACAAAGGACTGCCATTAATGGGGTGTGGCCTCCATGTATCAATTATACAGATCCATACAGCCAGAATTCAATACACAGTTTGCCAGGTACTATGTGGATGTTTTTCACACAATTTGCACATCAATAAGCTGTGCTCCCTCAGGTAAAAGAGAACCTGTTAGTTTTGCCATGGACAATTCTTTGACAGCATTCCCCAACAACAAACACGACAGAATGTATGGGGCCATTTGAATAGGAGGCATTGACTGAATACAGAACTCCTATAACACAAACCTCTAATGTTTTATGGATGGTTTGTTTGTATGGGGAAAATAGTGCTGCATTATTCCATTAACTCCTATTATTCACCACCAGAAGACAAAAGAAAGTATTGATAAAACAACGCTGAGTAGAGGGAGAGAAAAAAAAACAGCACCTAGCTCTCTGTCTACAGCAGCATTCTCAGATAATTATAAAGTAATACTAGCAGCTGACAGTGGGCTTAATGGAAGCTGGTGAAAAAGATCCATTTTCCTGTTTGAGCAGTGGCTCACATGATAATAACCAGCTCTATATTGACCTCCTAGCTGTTGCCATGGAGACAGGGCTCCCCGTGGGAAGTATCATGCAGATAGGTCGAGTTGCAACATTTTCAGATGATTTCAACGGCTTCCTTGTGATTGGCTCAGCCAATAAATACATGGAACTATTGAATTGGCAATGGAAAATAATTCAGTTTTATAATGTGGGGGTGTGTTCCAAAGGGACACTGCAGATATCTATGGTTGTTATTTTTCACTGGATTATTGGTCTACAAGCTTTCATCCACCATAATGGAAATGTTATTGCCAGTACATGACCTATGTTTAGATGTATGCAGAGGCGGATCCAAAGCTATTTTGTGCCTGTCAATGTAAACTTGAAAAATACTGACCGTCTTCCATGAGACCCAGAAGACGGCCTCCATCTGCCCCTGTACACGAACTGTACTGGTATATGTGAGTAGCCAGCTGAGCTACATGGTACAAAACAATTTTTCATTCTTTAAGTCTGAATAGAATACACAATAACCCTCATACAAAATTCAACAACTATGTTGATGGGATCAAAAGGTTGGAGGGATCTTTGCTTACATCTTGTGCCTGGGACTCTACTTACAAGCTGCATTATACCATACACACATCAAGAGTAGGATGGCCAACAGTTCAAAGTAGCTCTGTTCTATATGAGTAAACACTTACTTGATAAGGCAGTCCAAAACACCCTGAGTAAGTCTGAGATGAAGGTTGGCAACTGTCAGGAACATTAGAGGGGTCTAGCACATCAGGACTGTAAAAAAAAAACAAAAAAAAACAAAGGAAATTTACTAATTACATATATAATGTCATAAATTGACGCAATCCACCTGGTGTGTTTACATGAAATGCAAAGTAAATTTTAGAAAATTAGCTACCCTCAATTCATCGTAAGGACTGGGTTTTTTTTAATGCATCCATTAGATTTAGATCTTTTATTTTCACCTCATGAAATTATAATGTCATTTTCACTTACAGCAAATCACATTAGCTTTGGGTAAGCAACAACATGCCTGGAAGTACTAATTTAGTTCTAACAAATCTGAATATCAATATTTCATCAAAAGCAAGCTCTTAAGTTTTTAAAGTTATATATTAATTTATTTCTATCAGGAAGTAAATTTTTGCCACTGAAGATGATAAATCCTGGAAAATAAAAAACTAGTATAATACATTTATAATTTGTAAGTAACAACAATATTTCAAAGATACACTTTATTTCCTTTTCCAAATGTTGCCATCTTTTTTTAAATCTATCCCTCCTCATTACAAAATGTACTTACTCAGTGCCTGCGGCTATGCGCTCTAAGTTGGACTTTTCTATGGCAGCCACCTGAAGCAGAATGCTCATGTCGCTGCTATTTGCAATGGCAGGCATGGTGCAGTAGGGGAACACACACCGCTACATTTCCCAGGAACAATCATTGCACTCTTCTCATCATTAAAACAGGCACCTAAAACAAAGAGACAATGTTTTGTGGATTTTTTTCTTTTTTCACTAGTTTAAATATGAAAATTAGAAACTAACAGACCCCCCCCCCCCCAATCTTAATATAATCTGCAAGAAAGGGAAAGTCAAAACTTCATAGAATGAAGTGAGTAAAAAACTGCATAGAATGCATTGCTTGCAATTACTGTCAAGTTTCCTCATATTAATAAAGGTGCTACTGACAGCTTATCAACAAGGATTGGCATATTTGCTTTCAACCTCCCATAATCTCCACCAGATGGCAGGAGTTACAGGAGACCCGCAACAGCTTCTAGAACATTGAGCTATGCTATGGGAAGCTTTACACAAATATAGCTCTCTTACTCTGCCAGCATCAATACTACAACCCAGAATGAAATAGCTTGAAAAACCTGGAGGCCTGCCTTTATGAAACATTTGTATGCAGAGAGACAAACTTGTTTTGATCATATGCAATTGATTATTCAGGCAACTTCTTTTGAAATGTTCCTATTATTGACATCCACAAAGGAGGTAGCACACAATCAATACTAAAGGTCAGCTACAAGAAGGTCAGGCAAAATTATCTGGTTTCTCTCAGTTGATGTCACTCAACTGAAGTAAGTGTGTTGAAACTATTTTTCGGATATCAACCGGGTTTAAAACAACCATAAAATGAGATGACAATCTTGAAACACACAGCATCAGGATGTAGGATTGGTGCAGCTTCCTTTTTCAATCAAGTTTAACCACTGGTGATATTATGCACAAGACAGCAGGAGGATATTATAAACAACTCAAGTGCTATACTTTACAACTCAGACTTGGCATTTTTTTCACCAAGCTAATGAAGAAACTGTTCACTGCACCAAGACCCTGTTAAATACCACATCCATTTACTGAAAAGTCTTTGCATGCAAAGAGTAAAACATGCCCAGTGGCATACCACTGTCAATCTAGGTCAGGCAACTTTTCATATGCAAACTCTCTCCCCGTGACTGACCTACTTCAGTCAAAAAAAGGTCGGTTATGGAAAAATTTCAAATGGCTAGCACTTTGGGCCAGTGCCTCTTGTGAAATGAGTGTTAAACATGATCAATTCTTATATTTACGAATATCTGCATACATTTCCTAAATGTTTTGCTGTTATGTTTGGGTTTTCAAGGACCAAAGCTACAGGTTAACATTGCAAGCTAATGAATTAAGCTATCAATACTTTTGGTTTTTACAACCAATTCCTAGGATCACTCACGAATGAAATATCTTTTGGTCAATACCTGAATAATTGCAGCAGAATTTTAAAATTCCGGCTTAATGACAAATTTGGCAAAACACAGTAAATATATATGCATCCACAAACAAATCAAAATGTTAAGCCTTTCACTGTAATGCTTTATATTAGAGCCAGTCCCTCTACTAAACCAACCCTTGCGCTATTAGATTTCAGCTACCTTTTTTGTTTACTGATATCGACATTTTCCTGGGCATGCAATTAAATACCATATTCACGTAGGTTTGCAAGCTAATTAAAGTCCTTCACTTCTCTACCGTACCAAGCACAAAGAAGCATACCCGGTACATAAATGACTACAATCATTAAATCATACACATTTCATTTAGTCTGATTTCGGATTTCCTCCCAACATAAAAAACTTCTTGTGGAACAGGCATCTTTTTATTAAGCAAAAACTGACAGGTAATTAATTTCTATGCTAGTCCACTGCATAGTTCCTGATGAACTGAATACAGAGCCAGCATTACTAGTACCTGATTAGCAAGAAATATGTGTACATTTGATTTCTGACCAAAACAGTTACCACATATAGGAAGTAACACATCAAACCTACTAAGAGAGAAGCTACAAAATTACTAGGGTCTCACACACCATAAATGCCTGTCATATTCAACACAGAGACCATATCATAACAAAGAAGCTGCATACACAGGTTGCAAGCCAATCCACACACCTTCTTTAAACAAATGAGAACAGTTTACACAACTTAAAACTGGACCTTCTAAATCCTTAGATCTGTGGAATAAACAAAGATGCCATATGAATTTGAGTTCCCAGTCAAGTTAGGCCTGCCTGCTTCAGTGCCACGAATCTCATTGAGCCATCTGTTTATCATTGGCACACCACTGGGAATAGATATAATCTACTGTCCTGCCCCACAGCTTCTAAAACAAGTAAATCTTGTGCCCGAGATAGGAGCCTCATGGTAGCACTTCGTACATTCAGATAACCTGGGGTAGCGCTAGCAATTTTTTTCGCTTAGCCAAATCACCACTTTTCTGTCAATTTGTTATCAAAATGGTTATAATTTGACTAAAACAAGTCAAATCAAGCCCATTTTCTTTAGCCAATTAAGGCCAGTTTTAGCATTTGGCTAAATTGGCGAGTGTTAACGCTACCCCAGGATAACCTACTGAAATGGTTGAAACAAAATTAAGTCAGCCTAAGTTTATTTTCAGGATTAGACTGAGAGAGCCTTCTGTGAGTGTATTTCATGTGTAAAATATCTTCTTGGACAAATAATACAAAAATGCTTACTGGATAGAGTAATACATATGCCAAATGGCAGACGGATTCAGAAGGACTGCCAAACAGGAATGTTTGGAAGATTACCAACTAAAACCTCCTAAACAACTACAGGCAGTTGACATTCTTTAGTGTATGTAGTGTATGTACATTTAAACCAATACTTTAAGCGCAAATTTTCCCTCCCTACCTTCCATATCATATCCTTCTGTAACATCAAGGTCTGAGGTCCCCAAATTGTTGTACCATATGAAACATAGTATGTAGTAAGTGGTTTTTACCAATCGTGCCTTTCATTGATCATAACTGTTGATTCTGTATTTTTACCAGCTACTCAGTGCTCTTATAAACAATCTCAAATGCCTAAAAACATTCTAAAGAAATGTAATAGTGTGAAATAAGTTTTACAATAATCCAAGTGCATAAAAAGTTTTTAGTCCAATTATGTGTAAGTCCAACTACATGATAAGTCAGACAAACTGTGATGCTGGCCTAAATGTTGGAGACAGAACAGGATACGTTTGGTAAGTAGATCAGGTAAAGTACAACCACAACAGCAATGTCTAGATTATGAGCACTGAATCTATAGCCTAATTTTCTGAACTACGACCCAGAAAGGGTGTTTATAGTAAGGTCTATATTCAGTTCTGACATTTCTAGCCATTCCAACTGCAGGGTTGGCAAGCATCTTAAAATTTACTCTAGGTTCCCTACCAGGCTCATAGGTTGTCTGCTCAGATAGTTCAGCTTGAAGTCATCGCAACTGACCCATAAATAAGCTTTCGGTTTTAATGTCTTCAACACAAGAGAGCTATTTTTGTACTGCTAAGCCCATGACAATCAGTCAACAACTGTCATATTCTGTACTTGTCAATGCGCCATTTGCTCTCTAAAGCTTTTAAAAAAAATTCACACACCTCAAGTTTTTTTCCCTTTCTCTGCCCATTAATTCATACCTAGCTTTCCATTCTCTGCTATAATTATAAATTTATAAAGTGATTATAAATTAGTTCTGTAACTATTAATGCTGTAAAACACCATTCAACAATGTGGCCATTTCAAACCACGTATGTATTAAATAAGTAAACCTATATTATGATGGAAATGATAATCCGCAAAGAACTAGTTTCATGGAACTTTATTTGAGAAGAGTGTGCTTACTAGTACTCAAGTCAACTTGAGTGAGCTACAGAATTCGTCAAAAAACGGGTCACTGGTACTAAAAATCTGGTAGGTCTATGATAACAAAAGGGATGTCTAATTAAACTACAATTTCTTATGTAATAAACCATATATTCATATAAAACAGCAAGTTCAGATTAACTCCAAAACACTCTTCACGAGGTCAGAGGTTAATTTTTCAATGTTTGAATATTTTAGAGAGTTTGGCCACCTTCATCAAAGTTCTTACTATAAATTAAATTGGCACTTTTTGATATATGAAGTAAGTTACAGTTGGGTGAGCCTCGATGATTTTAACAAAAACCAATTGAAAGACAAGACTTCCCATGAATTTGTGAATATTATAATACATGCTAATAAGAACAGGGTATCGTTATTGTAACAGAAGAAAAGCATTCAAATAGAAAACACATATACAGTTGATGCTAGGTCAGAACTGTCCTCTTGCTATTCCGCGACTCATTAAATTTAGATTTCAGAACAAACGTCAAAGAAACGTCAAATCAGAAAATGGTGGACTTTCAGTTCGGTATCAAGTGTAGCGAATATGATTGAGGAAACATCTGAAAGAGACAGAATATTGACAAAACGTCCTCATGTATTCACGCAAAATAAACTTTATAAAACGTATGACTTACCCGCTTTCCCTGGCGAAGTGTCAATCTTCCGCTGGGATTGGTAGCAAGATAGCAAATTTACTTGGTTTATTTACAAAATGTGTGTACAATAACAACGCTTCTGTACAGAGTTTGCGCTTAAAACTTGGTCAGTATAATGTCTGAAATATTGTCTTTAGGTGTGTGAAAATCCTAGTAGTTGAAACCCAAAGGTTCCGAGGAAAATCCTCTCAAACTAGACATTATGTCAGCAAACGCTATGATAATGTCTATCCATAATGGCGGCCATTAAAAATTTCCAGTCATACGGGGTCTTCACGAAGTCAAAACAAGGCGTTTGTGTAACTGCGCATGATTATTGACCTAATTATTGTGTATGCTAAATATTTAGCTGAAAGTTTTATTGGAATAAACTTTTCTTTAGTAGTTAACTAATCATAAGAAAATTTAGATATTAATGTATATCATAGCTTTCCATGTAATATCATTACGTTTTTATAAAAAACACCAAAACAAGTGCGATCAATACTGCGCATGCGTGATTGCAGAAGTAAATTTTGTCGGCAATCAAAATGAGGATATTTGGCGTTGCAAATCTTCAGAAGGTACAGCAGTCATAACAACCTAGCTTTATTCACGACAAAAGAGTAGAGAAACATGCTTGGACCATCGTCAAGTGAGGAGGAAAGTGACAATGACACTTATCCGGACGAAGTTTCAGACGGGCTCAGCATCCCCAGTATTGATCAGAGAAGCCTGTCCGCCAGTGGGGATAACTTGAGTGCTTCTGGTGGAGCCCACTCCCGCACCAGCAGTGGGAGGCCCTCGAGCCCAAGCCCCTCGCAGGTAAGCGAGAGGGAGAAGGAAGATCTGGAACGGATAGAACGCGAGGAAGAAGACAGGAGGACGCGTTTACAACTGTATGTGTTTGTTATGCGATGTATTGCTTACCCCTTCAACGCCAAGCAGCCGACAGATATGGCCCGACGGCAGACCAAGATCAACAAGCAACAGTTGCAGACGATAAAAGAGAGATTCCATGCCTTTCTCAATGGTGAGACTAATATTGTTGCCGATGAAGCATTCACGAATGCAGTGCAAAGTTACTATGATGTGTTCTTGAAGAGTGACAGAGTTTCCAATATGGTTCGAAGTGGGGGTTGCTCTGCCCATGATTTCCGTGAAGTCTTCAAGAATAACATCGAGAAGCGCGTGCGTAGTTTGCCAGAAATTGATGGCTTGAGCAAAGAAACAGTCCTTAGTTCATGGATGACCAAATTCGACAACATATTCCGCGGAGAGGAGGACCCTCGTAAGCAATCCCAAAGAATCTCTACAGCAGCCTCAGAACTGATCCTTAGCAAGGAGCAATTGTATGAAATGTTTCAAAATATTTTGGGGGTGAAAAAATACGAACACCAAATCCTTTTCAATGCATGTCAGGTGAGTATCACGATTAAATGGAGCTGAGTTTTCGGGGCTGTGTGTGATCACGGGTGTTATTTTAATAGAAGCATATAAGGCAAAACATATATAGGACAGTTGTTCATTTTCCATTTCACCAATTTTACACGTATAGTACATAGTTTGCCTTTGCCTGTGACCTGTGTCTCAAAAAAAAAAAAAAAAAAAAAATCAGAACTTACAAAATCATGTAGTTGTCAATTTTGCAATTAAAAATAGATAAACGTCAATTGGTGAAGAAATAATTGCCATGGCTGGAAAACATGCTTGCTTGATATCATTGACAGTGGAAGGAATAAATTTATTGGTATAATTGCATGTCAAGCATACACTTCACTGGCAGAATATTGAAAAATGTTCTAAGATGGCACCTAAATATTTATATAACATATACCATGTCATCACACAAATCACTTTAATCAGATGTAAGAAATTAGAACTTTCTGAGTCAGATAGTGTATGTTAAAAGCTATTTGAATGTTGTTTTAAAGAGTTGACAGCACAAAGTAGTTTCTCTGTCCTATAACTTAAAAATGTTTGTGACATTTTACATCTAATAAGTGCACAAACTCTGGTTTTATTTTTCTCAAACTTGGCAACATTTTACCCAAGGAAGATAAAGGATAAAGAAACACATGGTGGCAATGTTTTGAGACTTGTTTGTTTATGTTAAAAGTAATATTTTCTATGGCTTTATATCCTACTAAGCTACTGATCATTCCCAAATTATACCTTTTAAACTATAAAACCTTAAAATTACCTGGCACTGATGGTTCCTCTTTAACTGAGAAAGACATTGCATTTTAAATGACTGGCCAGTCGTATCATTACTAGTACACAGTCATGTCGTAGCCCAAAATCATTACTAATAAGTTAAAAATGGAATAAAACATTGAATCCAAGTGTAGGGACAGGCAGAGCAATGATTCTTAAGTTTGTGAAAATTCCTTTTTCCTCCCAAGAAAAAATATTTTTGCCTGGTTAATCCCTTAAATTAATTTGATGACAAATACTGTCATTGTGTTTGGGGACTGAAGATATTTCAGTCACGGCTTGATTCATGAACATTTTATCCTTTGCTGTGCTGGCTTTAGGTGATCATTTCATATTATGGAAAATGAACCAGCATTTTATTGTATATATAACATACATATTTCAGTGCTGCACTAAACATATGAGCAAGTAATTTTGTAACTGTTTGCTGTAAATTTTCCAGCATCTTGCTGATTCATAAAAAAGACCAAAATCAACTAGTAACAGTTGCTGACATTAAACATAGATTGTTTTATGAGGCTGACTTATGATATTTACTGTCTATTATGAGAGATAAACCAGCATTGAATAAATGTTTCAAGACTGCATGAAATAAATATATACAAATACAGTAACATGAAATGTATGAGCAATAAATTCCGCACCAATTTTGAATAAATTGTCAAATATCATGATGTTGAAATTGGTTTGTAAAGGAGCATGCATTTGACGTTGTTTCTGATAGAAATTACCTCTTTATGTTACTGAAAACCATCCATTATGCATACATTCATATCAGTGCGCATTTCAAGTATTGAATTTTTTATAAAGCAATGAAGTTTACCGACTAGTATTTGATGAAAGAGATTTAGGATTGTCAGGTAACACAATATAATTAAATAGTGTCAGTATAAATGACCGGTTAAGTGGCACACTTGCTGAGGTATGAATTTGTTAGTTAACTGCATGAAAAGAAACACAAATGGAGTTTACATTTTCGGATAATGAGCTTTCTGATGGCGGACAGCAACAACAACAATCGGCAACAATGCTGCAGTCGGAATACTATGAAAATGTCGAAGAAATAAAAGATAATACGTCTATCCAAGTCCAGCTGTTTATTTCACACTAAATAATGGTCCAAGTATGTGTTATTAATGTACCAGTTCTAAGTAATGTATAGAATATAATAAAACTGGCTTTGGGTGATGGCAAAATTGATTTAATGGTTCATACAATCAGATGAATGATGTAACAGAAAGGAGGGGAGCTTGGATGTATTCATAGATTGATTTGTGGAATCCATCCATAAGAATATAATTGTGTTTTTCCTTTTCATCTAAATTTTGCATTAGTTTTGTGTCAAGAATAATACGAGGATCACTGCTCTAAAGTCTGTGTGGGTGATTTTTATAACTCGTTGTGTAAAGTATCACATCTCCTCAAGCGCAAAATGCGGGTCTGTGGCCTTCCATCCAGCCATGTGTATGATCAAGGGGGCGTTTATCCATTTTATTAGATCACAAATCTCAAAAGAAAAAGGTCAGGAGATACTACACACTGTTACACAAGGACATGTTTATTTCATGGGAACTGTGTGATGACATGTTTGTTGTATGTGCTTTCACCATTTGTTCAAGATCATGATAGATTTCGTGAGAGAATATGCAATTATTGACTGCCCCAAGGTAGAAATATTTTTAGCCTTCTCATTTTTATTGACACTTGTTTGCCTAGTAGGAAAATAATCAAGTTCTTTTTCTGTGTATATAATATTATTTTATTCATATATACTAGTAATGAAATGAATAGTTTATCATATTTTCAATCTTCAAGAAAGCCAACACTAATAACATTTTCATTGGGTAATACAAAAGTAGTTTCTAACTGAGTATTATATTTTAACGTAATTTGAATTGTAAGGAATTCTTCAGTGGAGTGAAAGACATGCTCTGAAAACTAGTAATTGCAGGCTTATCAGTTTTTCATATAAAAATTTTTTTTAACTAAAAATACTCTCTACCATGTAACCATTATTTTGTTAGTAATTTGAATCTTTTAAAATTATTTTTGTTAGCGTATCTGTTTATCCCACAGAATTCATTAGTCATGATATTGAAAAATGTGAATAAAATCATCCTGAGATAATGGCTTTACAGCAGAAGGGTACTTAAGAACATCAGTGGATGATACAAGACCATGTGTATTTTTGCCACTCTGACCGACACACAGAAGAGTGGGTGTCTCCTATCTCCTGGTCCTAAGTCATTTCCCCATGGCTGGCTGGTTAATTTGCCCCCAGTTTCACCTCTTGGTGATGTATAACCCTCACTTGCCTGGCATCTGGGATGTTGGTGATGAATACATGAGTCAGACAGTTTCATTGATTCCTTAAACATTCAGAAACTTGATAATCATGCTATACCAATCCGTGGAGGAGATCGGGCATCCAGCTATCCAGGGAGAGCCATTTGCCATTGATTGGTTGTGCTACATGGGCAATAACTGTAGTGATGTTACGTCTAATCATGTCACCTCTACTGGGTATGTGCCACATATCTTTTTATGTTTTGTTAGTACGAAGGAGCTGCCATAAGCTAATTTCAATAAAAGTTTGGTGGATTTTTAGTCAAAATCTCTTTTTTCCCTTCGTTTCTTCTGTCACCTTCTTACCTCCTTTCGTACACACACCCACACACACACACATGCCCAGTAACACACATATTATATAGTAACACCCACACACATACACACACTTCTACAGAAGTTTGTGCCTGAAAAATCACTTGCTTCTAAAATCCCCTTCCTGCCTTACCAAAGTTGATTAACCAAAGCTTGTCTGAAACACGAACACATTTTCTAAGAATTGCTTGGATGGAATGCACAAACAAAGTGTTACGTCAATTGCCTTGTGATAGATTACACAAATCGCCCTTTTCGTGAGATGAAATAAATGGGTCCTTTTAGATAATCCTACATATTTTCCTGTGTGGTATAAAATAAATGGGTCTTTTTAGATAAACCGGCTTAACCTCGGTTCAATTAAGGAGCCCCTTAGGTAATACCAAGTGATCAGTGCACCCGTAACAGCTCGTAGCATTCACTTTCTTTAGTAAAATAAGATTACCTGCTCTAATTAACATTTTCTTTGAAGCCAAAAATATCTTAGGGGTGCACGTATCTTTACTCTCTTACTCTGCTTCAATTAAAGACATGAAATTTGGTCTAAAAGATGTGCATTTACTTGTATTGGAGATATTTGAGATTCGGCCTTTATAGAACGATGGCCAGTTAGTACTTAAAAATACAATGTGCATTTGAAATTATCCCATTTTCATATTTTCTTTGTATACGTATCCAACAAAGCTACTTTTCTGTTTGAGTTCGGACCTTAGAAACGGTTAAAAACCTTAAATAAATGTACCTGATGTCATTATTTTCTTCAGAAATATACAGGAAGACATGGCAATCTAAATGTTATTGGAAAAATTTAACTGAATTAGTTTATTTTAGAAAATGAATTTGCTAGTAAACGTTGAATCCAAGTGCAGGAATGGGTCAAGCAATGATTGGTAAATTAGAGAGATTTTTTTTTTGTCTATTTTTTCGAGGAAAATTTCAATTTAGTGGAAAAATCTTGTAAAGGCAGACTTTAAAGAGAACCCTGGGCAAATTCCTTCAATTAAAATTTTCCCTTTAGTGTCCTGTATGTTGTTTCTACGATATGTTTACCATAATGCATTGATAAGAATTAAATATGACTGGGGAATTAGAACTACGGGGTCAGATCTACATGGGTTTCTATTTTCTCTGACATCTCTTCAGAGACCCATGGGCCATGATCATCATTTCAAGGCAACACTGGTCTCCATACCCCCTAAAGAAATGAGATCATGTACTGTATATTCTACAGCCTTAACCTAGTGAGAAAGATATGACAGAGCTTCCCATTTAAGCGATAGAAATGGATTAAACCGGAGACAACATGCACATGATCGGAAAAAACGTGCATATGATCTGTTCATGTTCAATCAGAACTGTACACGTACATCCTCACATCCGTGTATGGTTGTGTAAGCAAGGCCTTTAAAGCCTTGGTGGATTGTCACATGAGTTGTCTCTCCTTTCAGATAATTTCCTGTTTGGACAACAGCATTTTTTGTTTGTTTGGAGAGAAAAATTGTTTGAAACATGTAAAAACACCATAAATAGTGTGAAAATAATAATTTAGTTCTTCTAGAAGAAGCTCATTAGGAATTGAAGAAAAAGTGATCAGATTAACTGTTGAAATGATAAGATTTTCATATCTTTCAATCTATTCAGAATCTATAGTTCACTTTTGATATATTGGTATAAGATTAGATGGCTGTCAACTACTGAAAGAGGTTATCGGAGATGGGGGCGTTATATTAAACGTTAAAGCTAGCTTATATTGATTAATATTTAAACATACTTGAAACATAATTTGAGATGTACTCTTGCTGAGCAGCTAGCATTTAAGTCTGATATTGGACATGGAAACCCCATTTATATGGCAAATCTTTTTACCCAAGAAAGACAAATAGCATTGTCTGTCCTCTTGCATTACCATCCTTGACAAATGCGAAAGAAGTGTAAGTCTTATTTAGGCTTTCAACTTGATACAAGAAAAACAAATAGGTCAATCCTCTGAGCAATTGCCCATGGAGAAACATTGCATGGTTGGCTGACTGGTGAGCGGGATTCTCCCTTCTATGATTAATGGTACTGTGGAGTTACTGGTGATTACAGAGTCCTCGTGAGGGAACAGACCATGATTGCTGTCAGATTTTGTTTCCTTTTTGTAATTATGCCAGATAAGAAATGGAATGGAGAGAACCGAGAAATCAATAGCCTTGCCCAGTTTTTTTGTTCTTTTTTTTTTTTTTTTTTATTCTTTTGGTGGAGTCTTTATATATATATATATGAAAAAATTTTTGACCAAAGATAATTTTGTGTCTACCAGACATAATGGTGAAGTTTTTCTGGCAACATTTGAATTGTTGAAGAAAATGGACTTAGATGAAATACATCAGTGATCTTGATGTTATCTGAGCTTGTATTTAAAAAGAAAGACATTGTTGTATCCCATTGGAACAAAAAATAAAAAAAATGCTGGTTCTGCATATAACCATAAAAATGTACAAGGTACATGAACTACAGTCTGGATAATGTATTAGCTATGGTAGCTTGGATGTCGTCCACTTCAAATAAGCCTGTAGCGTGATGAAGCCTTTGATATTCTGGATTCAAATCTTTGATCTGGCCAATATCCCTGTGAACCCTTTCAAACAGCCTGTATCCTGTCCCTTGAGAACACCTTTAAGTGCTGCATTGCCCTTTTTTCAAGAAGTCTTAAAGGTATTTCAATTAACCGTAGGCTGCAGACTAGATAAAAGATGTCTTTCGTGATGGTCTGATTCTGGTTGTGATTAGATTTTGTTTTTTTTTTAGTGAAAAACATCCCTCTATTGTTTTTTACTCCATGACCCCACTTTTTCCCTGCCAATCTCAGCCCCACCTTTGTCTCTTTCATCTTTCCATGGCCCCACCTTTTCCTCTTCTATCTTCTCCATGATTTTGCTTTTTCCCCTTTTATCTCCCCCATGACCCCACCTTTTCCCTTTCCATCTCCTCTGAAACTCCACCTTTTCCCCTTCCATCTCTTCCATGACCCCATCTTTTCCCCTTCCATCTTTTATCCATTATCCCCCGCCCCCCCCCCCCACCCACACACACACTTCCAATCATCATTCTTTTCTCTTCATTTTCCAATCTACCTCCTAGCTATTTCTTGAAAAAATTTTAGTTTATGGAATTTTAGCTCTTTAGTAGCAAGTAAAGTTTAAAGCACAGTGATGCTACTTTTGATGCAAGTGGTGGTGGCACATTTGTGGAGGCATAAAAGTGGAAATGGCTGCTGACACTAGAGTAGAGATCTATAAGTCAGCAAAGTGTGTCACCAAGTCAGGTATACAAATTCAGTAGACCATTGTCAAGTCAGTCTAGCAACTGGTTTGAAATAATGTTGTATAACACTATTAACAGCCTGACAGATAAATGAAAGAGTGACAAATTGCTAAGGCATTAGTTCACAAGTGACATTTAGGAAATAAGCATGACTTTTTTGTGCTGATTCAAAGGACAAGTGTCTTCAAAACCTTAACTTATTGAATATGTTACAAAGTATTCAATTTCAATGAATTGATTATGAAAATATGTATAAGGTTACTGCAATTAGTTTAATTGTATAAGTATAATGGCTCTTGGGGGGAAAACAAACCATGGAAAAGAGACGCTTCTTATTTGAACATTTTTTTGTCAGTAATTTAATGTTTCTGTTAGTCCATTGCCTACATAATAAGGCATTATAAGTTGAACAATTGCTACTGAGGTTATGTTAAGTATATTAGCCAACTAATATCTGAATGTACAAAAGGCAACCAATTAATGTTTGAATTTGTAAGACTTTTGTGGAACTTAATTACATTACTAGTAGTGCATTCATGGTAAGCCGTTTGATAATATACAATTATGTACATTCTGCGACATGTCCTTTTATAACTTTTTTTCTCATACTAAAGCACCTAGTACATTAAAAATTGAATATCTGTCAAATTAGACAGTCCTCAAGCATAATTACTGACAAACATGCTTAGGCAAAAGTATACATATGTGCAGACACACCAACACACAGACCTGTGCAAGCGTGCACACATACGCATGCGTGCATACCCACATCATACAATTTTGTAATCTCTCTGCTAGCTTTTTCTCCCCCCCCCCCCAAAAAAAAATAACTCAGATTGGTACAATCCAGTTTATTTTAAAGCCAGATTATTTCTCCATAACGTTTTCCCAACTCATCACATGTCGCAAGCACTGTCCGGTTTCTCTCAACATCTCGTTTACACAAAATCTTCAGGTTGACAAACATTATGGGGTCTGTATTGCACATGTGCACGAGAAAGCTCAATACAGTTGCCACGACAACTGAAGAAAAATCAATCTTGATTACTGTAGTATATTCATGATATACGGCCTGTTAAATTAAGGGAAGTTTCAAAGGCACATGAGATATTTGTACTCTAATATGTAGTATTGCAAATAGAAGTTCAAATAAATGATTTATTCGTAAGATTTGCATTATTGGCCCATGAGGGCACATTACACCTTTGTAATGTAATATTGTGTGTAGGGAAAGATGGGGTTGGCTCATATCTTGACACAGGTATTAATATAGTTCTTATCAAGATTTAAGTGCTACAGGTGAATTATGAAATCAATTGGGCCATATCTGTGGCATTTATAACGTAACATCTGTGATAATCGCTTACATTTTGAGAGCTTACTCTTGAATCGACAAATTGTATTTCTGGAAATGATGGTTATGGTTATCAGGAAATTAAAGACAAATGTTAACAAGAATTTTTGTATGCATTTTATGTGAATGCATGCTACATTTGGCCTTTGCTAGGATAATGTTGAACTAATTTTCACTCATAACAGCAACTGATGAGTGAAGAAATTTCATAATGATTTGTCATTTTTATGTAGAAATCATTTAATACTCACTGATGAGTGTTATTTTCTTTCGCAGCTTGACAATGCTGATGAGCAAGCAGCGCAGGTACGCCGCGAACTGGAGGGAAGGTTACAAATGGTGCACAAGATGGCGCTGGTGAGTGTACACACAGGTGACATCGAAATAAAAACAGCAAACAAAGCTAGAGTTTGATTGAATTTCTTTTGTTTTCTTATGTTTTTTGTAGGGTAAATAATATTTATGTTCTAATTCCTTACACTCAAACATATATACAATATTTTTAATATAAACTCAGACAGGGTATTAGGAGTTAAAGTACTCACATCGTGTACTAGTACTTTATTTCCAATTTTACATTGCATATTGTGGTAAAGACAGTATCTCTTTATACATATCAAGCATGATGAATAGTTACATCAGGGAAACAATTTAAACCATAGCTATTAAGATGTTTGTCTTATACCTTAATATGTTATTAGATCAAGTCTAATTTCAGCATTGGAATACACCACATCATTTCACTGATAACAAGTATTGATCTGAAAAATTTATATTGTTTAACACTGCCATGTTCTATCGAGTAAGGGACCATTCACAGACCCTATCATACTAAGTGTGGATCAATCTATCTCTGAAGGGATTCTCGCTTAATTGCAATCAACTTAAGTGGTTTAGATGTTTGTCACGCCTACTGAAGCTGCTAGGGGGTAATTAATTATAGTTTACAGCTTCAGTAGGTGTGCCAGAAATCTAAGCTGCTGAAGCTGAAAGAAATTTAGCAAGAAACCCCTCAGAGATGGATCTATCCAGTTAGATCGATTAAGGTATCATGGGAACCCAGTCTAAGGGACCATTCCCACAGATATTTGGATTGATCTATCTCCCTGGGGAGTCTCACTAAATTGCTATCAAGTTAACCGGCTTAAATGTCTGTCATACCTAGTAAAGCTGTTTGGGGGTAATTATCTTTACCCCCTAGCTGATTCAGCAGATGTGACAGACATTAGGCCATTTAGCAATTTAGGGAGACTCCCCAGGGAGTTAGACCTATCCAGAAGGATCGATCTAGGCATGGGAACCCAGTTTAAGTTGACATTAATAAAAATGTGCAGTGTAATGAACACCTCTTTATTTCAGACTCGAAGGTACCCGCGGTTTGTGGTCAAGGAAATGGAGAGCATGTACATTGATGAGCTTAAAATCTCAATCAGTCTTCTCAAGGCAAACTTAGAAAGCCTCCCCGTCTCAAAAGGCAGCACAGAGTCCAAATATTCCTTATCCAAAATCAAGAAATATAACCGTGTAGCTAGGTATATTTGTTATAATTAATAATTAATTTATTACTACTTTTTTTATGTACAGACACAGATGTGTCTGTACATATTGCCATCACCTGCGTCTGTCGTCGCCGTCGCCGATGGCGATGGCGATGCCGATGCCGATGCCGGCGCCGTGCACTTTCCTTGTAAACACGATAAGTGGAGGGCAGTTTTACTTTTTGGCTTTATATTTACAGAGCTGATGAATATTCATAAAACGCAGGTCAAGTTCGAAAATCAGCATGATCGGGCCATTATTGTAGAAGTTATGCTGTTTTTTCACTTTTCAGCATATTTTTCACATTTCCTCAGATTCAATTCTTAGGCATGTTAACAGTCTCATTATTAAACTAATAAGATACGTAAAAGTGTTTGTTTGACATTTCCTGCATCTTTACAACATTGTTAGTTGATTTTGTAAAAATGATGGTAAACTTGTTATCGTGTATTGTGTAATAAAGTTTCAAAAATGGAAATAAACTCATATCATTGCAGTTTGTCAGATTCAATCATTCACTATGTTCAGAATCTCAGAATGGAAGAAATTGGACATTTAACACTGCTCTATTGATATTTTTCCCATCTCATCAATTTTCTTAGTTGATCATATAAAAATGGCAGTAAACTGTTAATTTTGTTTTATGTTAAAAATTGTTAAAAATGGGGGAAAAAACATTTCAGAACAGTGCTGTCTTGTTTACATTTTGGCATTTTCAAGTTGTGACTTTGAAGTTCCATGGGCCTGAAGACCTTTGCTAGTCACATTTTCTGAATATCCATGATACTAATATTTTATTATTAAAAATTGATGGTCATTATGCTGTTAAACATTATGTAATATTGCATCAAAATTTGAAAAAAAACCTATTTTGGGCACTGCTCCCATGATTACCTTTTAAGAAAAACCATGTCACTTACTGTTCTCAAACTTACAGGAAAGAAACATGGGACTAAAATACAGCTGCAGTAGGCAATGCAATCTGCCAGATAAACAGTTTTTTTGTGAAAATTTAATTTTTCACATATTGGCATTTTCAAGGTGTGACTTTTAAGTTCCACAGGCTTGAAGACCCAGGCTAGTCACATTTTCTGAAAATCCATGATACATATATTTTGTTATTAAAAATTGATTGTCATTATGCTGTTAACCATTATGTAATATTGCATCAGAATAGAAGAAAACACAATTTTGGGTGCTGCTGCCATGATGACCATTATGGGAAAACCATGTTTCTTATGATTGCCAAACTTTCAAAAAAGAAATACAGGACTAAAATGCAGCCTGAGTTGGAAAAGCAGTCTAATTGACTTCTTTTTCTGGAAGTTTTACATTTTCAAAGTGTGAACTTGAACTCCCATGGGCCTGAAGCCTTATGCTTGTTTCACATTTAACTTACATTGGTATTACCTGTTGAGCATAATTAAAATTTGATGTTGAATTTGCAGTTTAACATAATGTACTTTTGCATCAGAATTGACAGTAGCCTATTTTGTTATTTCCTGCTTTTTGTCTGTACATTTGACAGCTTTGCTGCCTTGTCTTTAAGTGGTAATGTCCTAGATGCAAGTGAAGTGTATGTGCTGTTTTCAATTAAGTGCTACACATTTGAAAAACTAAGGTTTACTGACTATATCAAGTGAGACATCAAAAAGTTTCAATAACCAACTAGACATATTGAAAACATTTCCGTCAATTTGCACACTGCCCTTTTCATTATTGCAATTAAACATGAAATTCAAAAGCTATCTAGTATTTCTTTTTATAGTTCATAAATAATTATCAGCAAAATGTGAAGTCTTTGTCAAATGAGAGAAGTGCTTTCTTTTTCACGTTTGATACTTTTGGAGTTGTCCTTATCATAATTCCATTTTCTTTTTCAGAACCCAAAACCCAGCTATCTCAAAGATGGAGGTCAATGATGATGATCCAGGTCTCTCAAAGCTTGATGTGGTCTTGTCATTTACTCTAGAGGTAAGGGAGTAGCACTCCATATATCTCTCACTGGTAACCATATTAGATTTGGCTGCCATATTGGATGCACCCTGTACTCTTTGATAAAGAAGCATCCACAGTTCTCCCCCCCCCCCCCCCCCCCCCATGTGGTATAAAACTGAACCATGATGTGCTGTATTCAAGTACATCTCATGATTTAAAGATCAGTCATGTTATTTTTCCTTAGATTACAGAAGTATGTTGGGAATTGTCAAAATAATCCATCTTCCATGTAGCTGTGCTCCTTAGAGCTGTGCGTGGTATCCCCTGGTGTGGTATTGATTGTGAAGAGAACATGGCCACTGTAGTGACGTGGCAGAAACAACAAGAATGTTCATTTCTTTTGATTGATTTTTGTCACTTTTTATTGAATATACATGTAGGGAGGCTTCTACAAGTTCTTAGAAAAGTGGAAGGGATGTTTGTTTCGCCTAACCTCCCTGTTTGCCCTCCCTCCCTTTCTCTCTGTCTGTCTCACACACACACACACACACACACAGAGAGAGAGAGAGAGAGAGAAACAGACTCACTCATATGATAAACATAAATATTGCACTCTTCATAGTGTGTCTAGATGGTAATGATTTTACAGTTTGCATCCATTCGCTTCAAAACTGTTACCACTTTGTTGTGACATTTTATCAAGTATAATATCATATCATTATTAAGATTTTTTTTTTTTTTTTTTTTTTTGTATTTCTTGGAGCTATATTTCCTCGAGTTTTGATTGCTGGAATTACCTGTGTCATGTCCACGAGATGTTAACACGCCAAGATTGACATATTTGATTGATACTTCCTGGGGGGATTAGTACCTTTGGATTGCATGTGGAAGATAGCAGTTAAATAAAATGTGTTTGTGAACCAAAATTCAAGTCCTTAGCTGTACAAAAAAAAAAGCACAAGCCCTATCAGGATTTTTTTTTATGTTGTTGTTGTTTTTCAGTAAGGTAGCCTAAGAACAGGTTAAATTCATTCAAATTAAAAAAAAAAATTTTTTTTCTTAACCAAAGTACTTTTTAGTCTCAAGTGAAAAAATTCCCAGCATGTCTCTAGTCCAGATGGATGGTTCTGCCCTACGCATTCTTTTAATTGAAGTAGTCCTCGTGGAATAATGATAGATACATGTGGTATTAAAGACAGGCAGTTACATATAGCTGCAGTTGTAGGTTATGTCTGTTGTATAGATTTGACTTGAATTAATGCCAGAATTGTGATCTGAAACTAGTAAGAGAAATGTTTTATTTGTGTGTTAGAGCCATTGTCGAATAGTTCATAATAATTATGGATTTCAAAGATTGTAGGAGTTAAAATTGCCATCACAAGAGATTTTGAAATTCTAAGGATGGTTAAAATAATTTGATATCAGATAAAAACAGGATGCTGTTCATCCACTTTTATCATTTATTTGAGTTAAGATATTGATTGTGGTGGAAACTAATTGCCTGTTAGCCTGAAACAAGTTTCTCATGACGTTTGTGACCTGACAGTTGTTTTTTTCATGACTAAATTGTTGTGAATGCTTTGACAAGGAACTCGGAGGCAGTATCATTAAAATTAACCTCGATATACGTCACAATTTATTACTCAGGAATGAGATTTTTCCGTCTAGTGGTGGGTTTCCGTCTTTTTGGGTGGTGTTGGTGCTTACAACAGTTATAAGATTTTTCAGACTTTCAGCAGATTTCTAAATTTTTGGGAGCCAAAAAGCCTCATCCCTACTTGACTAGTTTGTTAATCTCTCTCTCTCACTCTCTCTCACACACACACACACACACACACACACACACACACACACACACAATTCTATAAATTTAATGTCGTCTAACACTAAAATTTATGGAGATATAGAAGTTACATGATCGGAAAACAAGCCGTGTCTAGAAAGTGTCTTCTAGGTTTTCCTGGAAATTGCTTGCAGTCGGTTTTGTGCTCATGGAAGGAAATCTAAGGCTTCATACCATGATTATAACCATAAAAAAAGTCGGTGCTAAAAGGCCATAGAGTGTATTCATAGCCTGTGGATAAAAAATCACTACTAATTGTTATTTGAGTGTACAGAGTTTGGCAGGGCCAACTTGGATGTAGATGCATCTTAAACTCAGTTGGACCACTTGGGATAGAGGGGGTCTGTAGCTCCAGTTTGTTTGAAGTAGTACATAATAATAACCATACTTAGGAATGGATCAATTAAAAAATGGTCTTACTTGTTGCTGATTTCATTTTCAGTCTACTTGTAGTATCTCAGTAGTGATTGATATTGATTTCAAAGCTACGCTGGTCAATAGATTTCGTCTCTATTAGCTTGCTGATTGCCTAATGTTAGCACTGCTATTGGACAAAGCTGAATTTCTTATGCAGAGGTTACGTAAAATAAAGTGTGACTGTGTACATGTCTTGTTAAAAAGTACAACTGTAGGTCAGAAATAAAAAAAAAGAGCAAACAGGACAAAGTGTTCTAGATGACATAAGTAGGTTACAAAACTAGAGAGATTGGAATGACTGTGTAAATTGATTTATCAGGTGCAGTGTCAAAAATGTTTCTCATATAGACCCCCCCCCCCTTTCGCCAAATATTGAAGCGCACTTTTATCAGAGATACATCTGTGCATGAAATTCTGTCACTCAGATTTGGTGACGGCCCATTTTTAAACTGCACCATGCACCAAGACACATAAAAAGAAGACTGGTAGAAATGCATATTTGTTTTAAATTACTTTCTCGATGAAATATTCAGACCAGTGGGCCCCACTGAATAGCTGGCCCCGAGGGGAGGTAGGAGCTGGTTTCCCCAATTGCCTGGAGACATGTGGGTTTCCTAATGTGATTACTGGTCTCCGTATTAATGTTGTTGCAGACTTTTCTACCATTGCTTGAGTGATTTCAATATCTGTTTGGACTCAGGTTTTCATGTATTGATTTATTCAAGATGCTCACATCCAGATATATTGAATTTGTTTGATAACTAAGACTATTTGGTAAATTGGTGTCAAATTAGAGGCTGGGAGGCTTGTATTTATGGTGGTGACCAAGAATAATGCAAGCGACAATAAACTGTTCTCACTGGTGATAAGGGATATATATCTTGATATTTAACAAGTCAGGGGATCACTTCTTCTTTTCTGCTTGTTTTGAAACCTGCTCATTGCAGTCTGTGTTGCGTAAAAGGTGAAATTAAATTTTCATAGCCCCAATGATTATTAGTGCTGTGAAACAGCCCAGTTACCTAATACCTGAACAATTCCCAGATGTTTTATCAATATTTCCTTTCTGCCTTCTGTGGTATTTCCATTTGATATTTACTCTATTAAATTTGTGCTAGTCATGATTTATTTACCATTGGCAGTCTAAAAGGGTTAAATTTATACAATAATTGTCACTGTGCAATTAAAAGGTATATTCGAAGTATCGGTGAATGAGGCTATTCAAAAGAAATGAAGTCCAGGTGCATTAAATGAAAGTAATAGCTTACGAAAACTTTTGTATTATTATGAAAATAAAATATTTTATTGATACACATTACTGTAACATATGATGCCTTTGAATATTTAATGTTGCTATTGTATCTGTATTGTATTATCACTAATGAAATTACTGTATGACGCCTCAGCGTATATGTTTTTGGAGTGGATCATTGTTTGTGAAAAAAAAAGCAGGGGAAAATACTTAATTTTGATTAAACAGCTAATTGATAAACATGCATGGTCAAAACGATAAACTTTCAATATGACATTAGAAAACTTTGAAAAAAAAGGAAAAAAAAACAAGACATAAAGAATTTCACAAGTAATTAATCAGCTCATTTCTTGTAGAGAGATCCAATAATGATAATTGAGCTCATTTGTAAAGTAAAGAATTTCACTAGTAATCTGTCAACATGTTCCTTGTAGTAAAATGTACTGCTCTCTCTCCTTCACAACTACTCCTTGTAGTAAAATGTGCTGTTCTCTCTCCTTCACAACTTGCTCCTTGTAGTAAAATGTACTGTTCTCTCTCCTTCACAACTTGTTCCTTGTAGTAAAATGTACTGTTCTCTCTCCTTCACAACTTACTCCTTGTAGTAAAATGTACTGTTCTCTCTCCTTCACAACTTACTCCTTGTAGTAAAATGTACTGTTCTCTCTCCTTCACAACTT